ATCAGCTAAAACAGAAGCTATATGCTCCTTAGTTTCTTCTCTGGAAGATGTAAGGGACTGGACAAGAGATCTGAGTCCTTTGTTAGCGGCACATTCTTTATGAATAAGATCCTCTTGTGAAGCTTTGGAGAGCACATGACCCAATACTTGTATTACATGAACCTTGGAAGTCGGATTATCTCCCAGAAGTAAAGCCAACAATTGATTAATTGTGGCAGGATCAGCTGTACAAACAAGCTTCAAAAGTGTCTTTGTAGATGTTTCCTGGGAATGAGGTCCACCGGTCTTCAGTAGCCACAAGAATGCTGGAATACCACCAGCTCTTTCAACACAATCGCGGATTTCCTCACTGTGACAGCACAAATTCCAGAGGATCTGGGCAGCGTCTTCTTTGGCCTTGTGAGATCCAGTCTCGAGCAACTGGACAAGTGGCGGAATCCCCCCGGCTGCGGTTACAGCCCATTTACTATCATCGACCTGAGCCGTCAAAATTTCCAACATTTCAACAGCATATTCTTGGTGTTGCTCACTAGACAAACCTAGAAATGATATAAATAACTGGATTCCTTCTCTCTTTCCAACTGCCTCCCAAATTCCAACCTTGTCATGGCATAAGCGAGACAAGCAAGCTATTAGATGTTCTCGTACATCAGCAGATGCCATAGTTATGAGAGCTATTAGGACTCTCTTAGCTTCTGCATCATCTAGGTAACACGATAGACTACTGTTTCCATACAAGCTCGCCATAGCCTCCAAGATCCGCTCTTGGATTAACTTTGTGTCACGAGGCTTTAGTAACTTCACCAAAATGCTTTCTATCACTCTTGGATCCAATATCTTCTCTGAACTCTCTGGTTGTTTGAAAATCATTAGAGCATAGGCAAGGGATCCAATTACATCACCAATTGGTTCTGTTAGACGAGGGGATTGTGATACTTCTCCAAGATATATAATTAGATGGCGCATCCCGCCAAACACATTTGCCAAAGCTCCAGTTGCATGTTCTTGTAGAGATTGTCCATGTTTTCCCTGCATACACTCTTTCGATGGAGCAACAATGGCTCCAATGAGAGCATGAACACCTCCTGCATCTTTAACACATTTCTTAGCTTCATCGGATCTTGATGAAAGAGCTTCCAAAGCATCTGCAGCACTAGCACGGACATAGATATCATTTTTCTGTTCCAAAAGATGTATCAGAGAGTTGACAACTCCAGAATTTAATATTTTCTGGATGCTATCACAAAAGGATAGTACGAGACGAGCCAGCAGAGAAGCAGCATTTGCTTGAGAGTTGGGATTATCAGATGACAAAAGAGATACAACTATGTCTACACCACTACCCTCTAGTGTCACTCTCCAATAACCATCATCAACGCCACAAAGATTCCTCAAAGCACCAGTAACGTACCCTTCAACTACGGTGTCCTGCTTTCCTTTCAGACTAAGTTGATCCCACAAAGTTGGCACCACACCTTCTGTGACAAATATTTTCATGCCAATGTGATCATTGGAAATTCCAGCAGAAGAAACCTCATATATAGCTTCTGCCGCTGCTTTCCTAGTGTCAATGGTTCCAGACTTCAAAACCGAAAGTAATGGTGGGATGCATCCTCCTAGAAGCACTTTTAGTCGCAAGTCTTTGTCTTTGCATAATACGGAAAGGATTGAAGCGACGTTTACTTTTGCCAAACTCGTGCCATTTCTAAGCATGGAAATGAATAGAGGCATTGCTTGGGCATACGAACCAATCAGCCTTCTTGCCTCTCTTCTGCCTTTTGCAATACCAAGAAGGCGAGCTGTTGTGAGTTCTTTGTCTTGAGGAGACGATGTTTTCGAGTGAAGCTGCTCTATGAGCTGAGCAACCGTAGCCATTGCCTTCTCTGGATCATCCATTTCCAATTTTGCATCGACTTCCCTGCACATATATAGGCTATGAGTTCTGATTTTATTTATCATTAAAACGAAAATTGCAAAAAGAGAATGAAAACTGATTAAAGAAAGGAAGGAGTTAGCAAAAATTTAGAGTATTTTCTCTAAATACTTTTCAAATATAGAAAGTGCCTACCTGGACTGCGAGGAAGATAATGTTTCCTCCTGCGTTTCAGGAAGGAGAGCCTTCAACATCTGCATAGCAATCGCCTTTAGCTTCAACCTAACACTGATTGAGTTTGGGTAAGTAAAAGAAAATAGAAACTTTGGGTAAGTATAAAACCGCGATTGACTGAGTTTATCAAACATTCAGCCTATCTTTACACCTACACTAACGAAGTGAAACTAGTACTTAAAACAAACAAAAATGGAAGAGTCTATACGAAGAATCTTCACAATATTTTGGAATAAAAACTCCTCAAGATTTCATCCTTGGAATTCAACTATGCCAAAATTCTACATTCTCCATTACAACTCATCCAGTGCCAAAAATATCGACCTCTAGCTCAAACATATTTGCAAAAGAATCTACATTCTAACACAGATAGTAAATAAGAAAATTACATAGACTTCGTGGATGATGCATATACCTACGAAAATCCTTCCGCCTTGCGGGACCGAAAAAATCATCACCGCAGAATCTCCAAACGCCGCCGGGAAACCAGTTCCGAATCAGAATCCATCTCTCAACGACGGCAGCAACCAATCCAAAACCAATGCTAAAACTCACCTTCGAAGCTCCGCTTCTGGAAATTCAAAGAAACAGCAGAAGCTTACTGAATCAGAGACGAGGAGAAAGAAGAAACGAAAAGAGATTGGATCACAGAAGCCTAGGGCAAAAACCAAAATTGAAAACAAAGAGTGGATTCCTAGTTTCGTTGGATCAATTGGCGGATAAAAAAACATATATATTATTAACAAAATGGAAATCGTAACGAGCATTATGATTTTCAAAGACGAGGAAGCTCCCAGGGAAATCACCTTTTCTCTCTTTGTCGTTGGCGAAATTGAAATGCCGAATTACCTCGAAGGAGGAAGAAGAACGTACGAGCAGAGAGAGAGAAGAAGAGAACAGTCCCTATATTATATTTTCTTTTTCTCTTTAATTTTTATTACTTCCATTAATCATCCACTCTTTTTTTCTTACCTTACCCTTAATAATCCGTTGTCCTTTGTTAGTTAAAAACTTAAAATTATACATTTTCTCTCATCACAGAGCTTGTAATTGTATTAATTGAAAATGGAATTGAAAGTCTACTCTCCCCTGTTCCTCGTCTCATAATCTCAAATTATTATTCTTCATATCTTAGTTCAAAAAATATATTGTATGATTCAGAATTTGATTGTTGAAAATTACACGGCAGCCATAATAATGGAATTAGAATTCTGAATTACCAAGCATGATGTTGCCCAATCTAAACAATAGGACTATGGTTAGGTTTCTATAATCCGAAACTTGGACTTTTTCAATGAAGTCTGATTGAGTCTCAATCTTTTGAGCTAATTTTTATTCAATTTTTTTACATGGTTTTTGAGCGTTGACACTTGACAGCAAAAAAAAAACAATGGTTGCCCAAGATATACTCTCTTTTTTTTTAATTACAAGATATACTTTTTTTCATTTTTCTTTATTTAACATTGTTATGGATCATAACTTCTGATTGAATTCGACGGGTTGGAACTTGGTGCAGTTCTTAATCGTGTTATGCATGTTATTTAGAATCTAAATCCAATTCGGTTAAAAAAGACCTAAATACGTATATAATAGTTTTAAAGTCTCTAAACAATTTATTTATGTGTTTAAAGCAAGAATGTAATATGAACAACGATGTGTGATGTGCCAATGAATCTTCTTGAGTCTTGACCAATCTCAGTCGGGTATAACTCAGAATCATACATAAAACCAAATAATATGTCGTGATAATACAAAATGATTATCCCGTTTGCATTAATAACAGTAAAAATTATCCATCTTATCCATACAGCAAAAAATCTCACACACAACACAGGCTCTCGTAAAACAATATAGCCCTTAAATTTAACCAAGGCAGAAAAAGATTCTCCTGGCAATTGTAATTTAAGCAAGGCGTAATCCTCGGATCTGCCCCTCAGTTTTGTTAAATTATTATATACGTGTACGTAATGTGATCTTACTATTTTTCTATTTGCAACGACAAAATTTATGTGCATCTTTTATACAATGTCATCAGTGATGTAAGTATTCACAAATACATACAATGCAATACAAATGTGAATTCAATCAGTCAAATAGAAATTATTAAATATCTGTAACAGTTGCGAGTTTAAACACAACACAACGCTATATATGCATGTGGATAATAGATTTACACTATTTAATACATCACATGCAAATGATATCATATATGAAGAAGAGAAAAAAAAATAGATATATGATTGTAAATGGTTATGTTGCTACATTGAAGACATGAATAAGAAATTAGTATAAAGTGTAAAGATAGATTGGTTGTAAATTGAAAGTGAAAGTTGTAAGAGCAACAACAAACATAGCTAACATGGACTTAAAACCCCACTTCCCCAGTGATACTGATTGTCTCCATTTTTTTCCAGTCCGCAACAATATATCTGGGCCCCATACTTAAATATCCCATCAAGTCTCACTTTTTTGTAAATCAATTTTACCTTTTCTTCTAGCAACACAGTTTTATACATTTAAGTTATGAGATGCTAATTATATTCCCACAATTTCAGTCGATTGTTTGCAATGGATAGTGATGTTGTATTTGAATTGGAACCCGTGTTAACCTGAAAATTCCACCGGTTAAACTAATTGTATTACATAGAATAATAAACTCAAGACAAAATCTAATAAATAAACAAAAGACAAGAAAAAAATTGTAATCAAAGAGAAGAAGGGGATTTGTTTGGATGCAAGTTGCAACGATAAGACTGTTATCTGACTAAGGGCCTACCTTCACCGACAAGTTCCAATACGACGGATTCACTATGTAAAAGCGGATCTCGAGCTTACGATATTTTTTCGCTTTTTTATTATTATTACACATCAATTCATATTTTCTCTGATACAATTTACTATTCAACGTATGGAATATTATCCATTCCATGATTGTATTATGAAAACAAAAATTCAGTACTACAACTTACAGATTTGATTCAAAAATGAATTTATTGCAAATCAAATATCGTAGAGAACCATGGTATTACTATGTTGGATCATACAAATACAATTGCATAGTCTAGCTTGTATTAATCGAGTAGAAAAGCCAAGGCCCAGTTGTTGGGGAAAAAAGCCCATTCCGTTCCTTCAGGCTCAGCTGGCGGGTTGGAAACCGGTTATCCGGCACGTGCGACGATAATCATAGTTGTTCCACTAACTCGCACGTGTCAGCTCAAAAAGTTCTCTGCTGAACCACAAGTGGATCAAACGTCGACCACATCTGATTCCCGCCCAATAGCCGTGAGACAATCTCGTTATTGGCGATGGCATCTACGTAATTAAACGGAACATCAAGGGCGTTACTCAACCGACCGTCGCTCCACCTACTCGGCTCGCTCTCAGCCTCGCACGTGAATTCGGGTGACACCACATGGTGGTCCGAGCAGCTCGAGCCGGCGATAATTTCCGGTCTGTCGAAGTTTAACTTCACCGGAGCCGCTACATGACACGTGTCGGTCATAGGCTTCACGTCACTCTCGGTCTCGCTCCGTCGCTTCTCGATGACACCTTTCTTGTTGTATATACGACACAGTACCCAATCGTCCAGCTGTTTCAAATGAACACATCCGGTTAACAAAACCCAACCCGGTTTTAATAATATTCAAGTATGTATTTGAACCGATAAATCACTCACTCTTAGACTGTTTTTCATGCGAACCGACCGGTCAACGTCGGCAAGGCGGTATTCGTGCATAATCCAATTGGTTTTCTCTCCTCTAGGAGGTTTTCCGGAATAAAACACTAGAGCCTTCTTAATACCGACCGGTTTAGGACGACCGATTGGTTTATCAGCACCGGTGGCTTTCCAATAACCTGTACCAGCCGCCCGGTTCGGTCGTGAGCCGTTTGGGTACTTTCGGTCTCTTGGTGAGAAAAAATACCACTCCTTTTCTCCGTACAAAGCCATGTCTGTAAAATGAGAATTTTCAGTTGGTTAACTCTTGGACCGGTTAAAGGAAACCGATTATTCGTTTTATGGTGATTTAAGCAAAAGGAAACAACCGTACCGGGAAGGTCCCAAGGATCATATCGGTATAGGTCGAGTTCGGTGATGATCGGGGCAGGGATCGGCTGCGACGCGCATTTACGGCAGAGATACATGAGGACGAGCTCCTCATCCGTGGGATGAAATCTAAATCCTGGTGGAAATTGCAGATCAGCCCCTGGTTTCATCATAAATTCACCTTTTTCCTCCTTGTTTTGTTCTTTGTTTGTTTACAACAAAGAGAACTAGAAAGATGTTTGAAACTTCTGAAAGCAAAGAAGAGAGATGAATATATAGGACGAGGGGCTTGGACACGTGGCGGATAGACAGGGGATTTGTGCTGGTGGAATGGAATCTCAACAAAAATAGTAAAAATGTTTTCGGAAATAGGAGTGAGTGTATAGGTTAAATTGTAGTGGGCGTACGATTCATTGATGTAGGAAGGACACGTGGCAGACGATAATGTAGGTAAGTTTTGTCATTGCTTACGTCAGACTATTTGGACTATAGCGGTCCGAAGCATGTCGATTTTGGGAAAGAGCGACGAGAATCGACACGTTCGATCTCACGCGTGGTACTTTCCAAACGAGACCAAACGTTGACCGTATCAAAAAATATTTCTCTCTTTGATCTCAAGAGATTTCAAGGCTCGTTCATTTCGATCTTTTTTTTTTGTTTGTCATCTGTAAATTTTTATTCATCAAAATCTGAAACAAAAACTTGGACAAAGTTAAAGCCGACAGAGTCAATGACTTCTCCAGAAACAAAGTTGGAAAAAAAAAAAAAATTCAGAACCAACAGCCGATAGAATATAAAAACATCTCCGAAGACTAAGATAAGCTAAAACTAACTATAAGGCATGAGCAAACAGAAGCAAACTAAAATCACAATAATGGTTTCGCGTCCTTCTTTGCCAATGAGTATCTCAAAGCCGCGTGGTCCGTGTGCACTATTACTTTGGAGCCCACCAAGTAAAACCTAAACTTCTCAAAGGCGAAAACTACGGCGTTTCTAAAAAGAGAAGTATCTGCGAACTGAAAGATGAAATGAAGCAGAACATCCAACAGCCGATTTATTGAAGCTGACACCCTTAAAAAACTCATTTTATTGCTCCGACGGATCATGGAGCCACAGAGTTGAATTCACAAGCAGTAGATCAACCGAGATAGACGAAGAAACACCTTTTTATCATTCGACGACCCACGACTTGATGCTATAAGAGCCGAAGCTCCTTTTCCTCACTATCGAGTCGGAGAAAACCCAGCATTGACGATCATAAGACTTGTTGATTTATATATGAATTGAAATGTTAGTATATAAAAAACACTTGTTGATTTATCTAATGGAGATATTTTTATTCACTGACAATCCATTGTAAGCTAAAAAAATTGGTTAACGAAGAGTAAATGTGGAGCCACATTAAAAAGAAAAAATGACGTTGCTTTCATATTATTTGGTGTGTCACTTGGTCCACTTATGAAATTTAAGGGTACCTATGGTAGGAAATCTATACTTTTACAGTTTTACTTTTCAAATTCAAGTTCGAAAGTTTTTAAACTTTCTTTCTTTATAATTTATAAAAAGAACTAAACAGGTCTACGGTTGATAAAATGAATAAAATCACCTCATAATTATGTATGCCAATGCCACTTTGACTCGGTTACTTTCTATAATGGAGTGCACAAAATAATGTCATCTCGAGCCGCATTTGCCACCGAATAGATAGACGCTTGGATCTTTGCCACGTGGAGCGGTAATGTAAGTTCGGCCGCCTTTTATTTTGGTGTGTCGAATTTGATAAAAAAGCTGAAAAGTGACAGAAGATCTAGACACGTGACAGGATGTAGGTGGTTCATGGATTTATAATCGCAATAATCAGAAGCATGAATTTACGAGCATCGCTAATGATTGACGAAGTAGAACATTATGTATATACACACACACATCTATATATGAATATCCACCGGCCGAGAGAAATGAGGTCGGCAGGATTTAATTTATATTCGTGGAGCGACCAGAACGATTGCACATGCCACGTGCTTTTATTACAAACCTTTGCACGCATGTATTTCACGAGTTTTGCGAGCGGATTTTAGCTACTCTTGCTCAATATAACGCCATGAACCGAACCAGCATACACGTACACGCAAATCATTCACGTCGATGTGACATATCATCCATCATTCATCATCGTTAACGACGAAACTAAAGACAATATTTGGTACGAAATTTTTAAATCAGAACCAAAAGGGACATCAAGCGGTCGAGTATTTGAACAAGACAACAACAAGCGCTTTTCTTAATTTTCTGTAAAAGTGAGTAACCAACAATATTCAATTTCTACTTATCCGGATTAAACCGAACTCGGATGAAAGCAGATATGTGATTGTAGATCAATCCATCCTTCCCTTGAGGATCCTCTCCTTGACCTCATTTGGTGTTCTGAAAAACATCACCATGAAAATGTTTTACTCATCAGATGCAAGATGTGAAAAGAAGAAGAATAAGAAGACGACGATGAGGAGAACAAAACTTACACAACGTAGACATGTCCTCCCCATCCACTCAGACAATCGCGGTCAACGGAAGAGAGAAGTGCTTGTGAAATTGTCTCAAACAATTCCTCAGCTTCCTGAAAATCCCAATTTTTTAAACCAAGGATCAGCCCCAACCTTAACGTTATAATATACATTTTCATGAAATCAAGTCTGTTACCACAATGCACGTCCCACTTCTTAGAATGATGCTTTTCAATTTCAAACTTCATTTATACAAACTTATAGCAGGGAACACCGCAGTATAACTTACAAGCCTGAACTATGAAACACCTCATTTCTAGGACAGATTAAAATTATCGGAATTCCTTCATCTACGACCAGCATTATGCACACATCAAACCTAGATTCTACGATATAATTCTTACAAAATAAAGGATTTTATTAAACAAGATCGAACTCTGATACGCCTCATTCCTATGCAAAATGAAGATATTCCGTCATCTATGACCAGCATCATTATGCAATCTATGACCAGCATCATTATGCACACAATCATTCCCACCAAATCCAGTTTCTACAACAGAATTCCTACATATGAAGGATTTTACTAAATTTTCAGGCGAACTTAGCAACAGAAATTGAGTTTTCAGTGATCCGGTAAAAAAAAAAGAGGCTTTTAAAAGCACATACCATATCTGGTTTGTACATGGCTTCACATGCACCATATAGTGATTCTGAAGCAGTTCCAGAGACAACAAAGTCTTTAGCCAATTCCCTACGTTTAGAGAGAACAAGTGTCATTGGATGAGAAACGACCAGAACAAGATTCCACTAAAACCAAAATCCTGATCCACTACCCTTGTGGTTCTCCTAGCAAGATTCAGGACTAGACTCACTGACTAACAACACTAAATGGCGATACAGATGAAAAATGAGAGATAACGTTTTGAATAATAGGAGACTCAGCAAAGAAATGATGTGAAACATACTTGGCTCCAATCGAATCCATTGTGCAAATGAAGGGTTTGTTATCTTCTCCCAATCCAGCAATCACAGGTTGGCACAAGTATGGACCAAATCTGAAATTAAGTAAGTAATTTAAAATCCATCAAACATTCAACTTAGTCCCGGAATTGTAACATAAATTATGAAAAAAAGCAGCTTGATTAAGGCAAGCTACAAATGGGAGAAGAAGGCATTTTAGTTTTACATACCTTTTCTCATAGAGAATAGCAGATACAAGACTAGCGAAAGTGTCTGGCTTCATGTCTCTCTCTTCTCGAAGCTGATATAGTTTATGACGAAATACGAGTCGCTGGTACCTTCAAAATCCCAAACGCAAACAAAAAAGAATCCATAATTTATGAAATTCGCCTATTTTTTAGGAGAAGAGGAGAAAACATATGAAAAAAGTGGAATAGTCAGGAGAGGTCACAGTGTCTGGACATCGGTGGCGAGACCAGAAAGGCCGATGAAGAGATGATCATGGATCTTGAAGATTCTCTGAAAATCGGTAGCGATAGTCTGTAACTGCACACCAAGCCTCCGATCACTTGCTATAGCGAAACAGTTCTTCCCCACCATAGCCACGACGGCACTTCCATTGTACTCAAAGATCTATATCACCACAATGTCCATCAATCATTTCCCAAAACAAACAAAGATTAGAAATCGCAGGGGAAGACTTACCGACATCGGAAAACTAGGGTTCACTGAAACTTGGGGAGTTTTTCTAACGGAGAGAAGAAATCTGAGCAAGAAAAGAGCAAATTGTAAAGTCGACGGTGGCTTACTGGCTTGGACGAGACTCTAGACAGTTTGCTTTATTAATGGGCCTCGTTATTATTGGGCTTTCAGATAACTTTTATATATCATTCAATCATTCTTCATTCTTCTTACTCTGTTTATTTTGACTAGAAAAAAACAAAAATTCACTAGAAATATGCTTTGACTGCTTTGAGCCTTTGAGTATCCATATCCATTCTAACTGCGAAATTCTAAGTGCTTTGAGTATTCATTCTAATTGTCTGCATCAACAAGTGTGTTTTGATTTCATTCACACAACACAATGCTGTCAATGCATAGATGTCAAGAAGCATTTTTTTTTTTGTCCAGGCAATTCTATAAACATAATTAATTGGTCAATGTAAGTGCCACCACGGTTCTGCCTACAATCTTCAGGGGAGCCGCCCAACAGTCGATGATCATCTGGACGACATTATCAGTTGCTCAGTGTTTATAGACATAGTAGGTCCAAATTTTGTGGAGATCTTGCACAAAATTAAACAATTGTGCATTTTTCATATGTATAGTTTTCTTTGCCGGTGTTATGGTCTTCAATTTGAGTCTGGGTATAACTTTTGCGCAGCCAAACACTACTAACTACCATTTGCAAGATGCAGCCGAAGTAGCGTTAAAGGCACTAGCTAAAGAAGCAAGGGCCAAGATTATGTATTCATTGTAAGTCAGATTTTTTTTTTTGTTTTTTTCAACTTTATTCAAATGAGAGTAAGACAATAATAAATAGGGTAGGACATTGGAGATATACTCTCATTTTACTTGGGAGCGGAGCGGGCATCGAGCCAAGCAACGATGTCGTTGATTACGGTGAAAATATTATCGTCTGTGTCACCTTCTAGAATGCAATGGTAGCCACCTGGATAGAGTTTTAGAGTTTTGTCTTGGCTGATTGCTTGCTCGTGAAGGAATTTGCTCACAGTTGGATCTGTGACTCTATCTGCCGCTCCATGTAGTATCAACAATGGCAACGATACCTGCAACATAGAAGAGACGGAAGTTATTAGAGACGAGCCTATCTATGACAAAGAAGTTTCCTTTATTGTATTTGTTTCTACAACTAACCTTATCAATTTGCATTTCAATGTCTCTTGTGGCATTTAAAAGTTCAACGGCGGTTTTCAGACGCGTTTGGTCATCGTAGCATATCACATCATAGTCGCACTTGATCCATACGGAGAGCAAAAACATGGCAAAAGGAAAAAGTCAGCAACAAAATGCTTCAGAAAGTGGTCTGTTGAAAAACTTAAGAGAAGGTACCAGTTTTCTTTTACTCGGGTCTCTGAAGAACATATCGCTCAAGTCTTTCTTTGGAAAGAGCTTTGCTTTCGGAAATAGTGTTGACATCAAGATTAACGCATTCAGGACTAGCTTAGGAGGTTTTACATCTTCTGAAATCTTGGAAGTAACTCAAGGTCACGTATTTCAAACACAACTTAAGGTAAAAAAAATGTGAGTAGTAAAATACTTCCAAGCAGGGTTTGACTTACCTTACACATTGGAGCCACAAGGACAAGACCATCCCAAGCTAGAGGTTCTTTCAGATGAATTTTCAAGGCAATAGCTCCTCCCATTGACTGTCCGAATAGGAACCGGGGCACATTTCTCAATTCAGGTCTCCCTAATAAATCATAGCAGTTTAAAAAAAAACCGAAAAGCAGATTCAACACAAAACACAGGAACAGGTAAATTTGGGGTACCTTTCATTTTGGTGAACTGTTCAATAGCATTTTCAGCTAAGTAATCAAAATTTGGGATGTGACCATGTAAACCATCTGAGAGACCAAAACCAGGGTGGTCTATAGCATAGACGCCATAACCATAACCTGCTATTTGCTTTGCTATGCCTGTAACAACAAACCCAGAACTATAATAGAAGAAGAAGAAGAGCCTGATGCAAATTATGATTAAGTAGAAATATCTAACGAACCATCAAAGAAGAAAGTGCAAGTGCTGCCATAGCCATGACAGAAACACACCGCCGCTTTGATTTCAACGCCGGCTTCAGGCAACCAACTCTTGCAGAAAATTTCGTCCCCTTTCGAATTTCTCTCATACCACTTTCATATACAGAAGAAGAAGATTTAACAACTACTTTGACTTAGTATAAACTACAAGCAGAAGGCTAAATGAAAAAAGAAAAAAAAAAGCTGCTTACCTCCTCTGTTCTGATCCCAATCGGAGCTTTCTGTCACCAGATTCAGATGATTAGAGACGAGATCATGTTCGATTTTGCTATAAAAATAAAATAGTCAATGCACCTTGAACAAGCAGTGATCGAGCTGCTGCTGCAAGTCAGCAAAAGCGGAACGCACTCGCCTTCGTGCTGGAGCTTGATCTAACTCCTGAGAGGCGATTAGATTCAGCTCATCACTCACTCCATCGATCGGAGATCGTTTCGCGGAAACAATCGCCGGCGCGAATCGTCGAGTGATGGCCGGAGAACTCGTACGGCTGTTTCGGAAAGGGGAGAAAGTAGACGGAATGTCAAAACGGGAAGTTAAAGCACGATCCATGGATGCCGGAGAGTCAATTCAAGGATCCGAGATTGTAAAATCAGATGGGGAAGAAGACAAAAGAAGTACTATACATTTGTGCGGGAAATCTCGCACGCGCAACACGTGCTTCTAACTGTGCGTTGACGACGAGTCTTTAGAATGAAGATCGGCGTCTTCCTCTTCAAATCCGGTTCGACCGCAACCCGAATTTACTATCCGGTTTGGTTTAGGATAAAAGCAAGCGGTATGAGGAAGCCAGTCAAATCTAAACCCGCGCGTATTTAAACAACGTTTTGTTTGGGGCTTATTTATGGGCCTCTCCAATGTTGGGCTTTTGTAAAAAAATCTATTTTATTCCAGCTGCATCGTATAAAACCGCATTTTAAAAAAATTATAAAAAGAAAAGAAGAAATTTCGATCCGAAACGAAACGAAGGTGTGATATATACAGTGCACAGTTTCGCCCCAAACTATAAAACAATCTAAAATCCTCAAAATCTCAGTGCTGAACGATAATCGACTACAGTTTAGGAGAGAAATGGCGTCGTTTCGGTATTCACTGGCTATGTTCATTCTCATGGCGGTTATCGGAGCCGGTGACGCCGGAAACGTAACCTACGACGGGAGATCGCTGATCATCGACGGCCAACATAAGATCCTTTTCTCCGGCTCAATCCATTATCCTCGCAGCACACCTCAGGTATTCTCTCTTCATCTCCAGCTTCCTCTTCTTCTTCATATTCTCTCCGTTAATGGAAGTTTCGTAGCGTCGTTGGACTTTAATTTCTGCAACCTCTCGACGAAATCGCGTCGAGCAGTCACGTGAATTAGCACACTGGAGTCGGCGGTAGGTTTGCGAAGACGAAATACGTGAGCCGTTAGAGAGAAAGAGAAAGAGAGAGAGAGAGAGGATAAAATCGTCTTTTTCAATATCTTGGCCGTTTTGAACTTATGGAATTTGCGAGAATAAGTGCTCTCATTTTCTGATATATTCTCATTCCACCCCAAATATTCTGATATTGTTTTTTGGTTGCTGAATTTGCGAGACTAAGTGCTCTTATTTATGATTTGTTCTCATTTGACCCCAAACATTCTGATAATGTCTAAAATCCCTTCAAGGAAAGCTTCTATGTCTTTTAAGATTTGGCGGGATCTCTTCTTCTTCTTCTTCCTCTGCAAATATTAATGGAAGTCGAACTCGCAGATGTGGCCGTCTTTGATAGCAAAGGCAAAATCTGGAGGAATAGATGTAATAGACACATATGTCTTCTGGAACATTCACGAGCCGCAACAAGGCCAGGTTTATCCCTTCTTCTCTATATCTTCTATTCAGACGAATCCAAGTATATATATGTACCTATAGGTGTATAGGATTGATGAAATTTTGCGATCTGTAGTTCGATTTCAGTGGACGGCGTGATATCGTGAGGTTCATCAAGGAAATACAAGCGCAAGGCTTATATGTCTGTCTTCGGATTGGACCATTTATCCAGGGTGAATGGTCATATGGGTAAGCTTTTCCCGGCATTAGTTAGTTACGATTTTCCGATATGAAAAAACCAAATTCATGGAATTTTAAGTGTTTCAATACACATTTGCAGGGGTTTGCCTTTCTGGTTGCATAATGTCAAGGGGATTGTCTTTAGAACAGATAATGAGCCATTCAAGGTAAAAATTTTATTGAACTCAAATGGTTTCCATAATTCTATGGTTTCACGAAGATACGTTTTATTTGCAGTATCACATGAAGAGATATGCACAAATGATTGTTCAGTTGATGAAATCGGAGAACTTGTATGCTTCCCAAGGAGGACCTATTATACTCTCACAGGTTTACATTTTTTTTTTCCCATGTATGTTTCCTTCAAAGTTATTTTAACTGATCTCAAAGTTATGGGAAAAACAGATTGAAAACGAATATGGAATGGTAGCTAGAGCTTTTAGACTAGAAGGGAAATCATACGTCAAATGGGCAGCAAATATGGCTGTGGAGCTTGAGACAGGAGTGCCATGGGTCATGTGCAAGCAAGATGATGCCCCTGATCCTTTGGTTGGTTTATATGTTCTTCCTGCAGTGTTTTGCCTCTTAATCTGTTATTTATCTAGTTGTTTTAATGATGCACCAGATTAATGCTTGCAATGGGAGGCAATGTGGAGAAACGTTTAAAGGACCCAATTCTCCAAACAAACCTGCCATATGGACTGAGAACTGGACGAGTTTGTATGGTCTCCATTCAGAATCACTACGTTTCTGTTTAATTCCCAGTTCTCAGATAAAAAAAATAACTTTTTGCTGCTCCCTTTGTATAGTTATCAAACATATGGTGAAGAACCATTGATAAGGTCGGCTGAGGATATAGCATTTCAGGTTGCTCTATTCATCGCTAAGAATGGAAGTTTTGTAAACTACTACATGGTACTTTTTCCAGTCTCACTCTCTGTTTTATCTTTAATTTACAAGATATGCGGAAATGAATGATAGATTGACACAGTATCTTATTCTAGTATCATGGAGGAACAAACTTCGGAAGAAATGCTTCGCAGTTCGTAACCTCGAGTTACTATGATCAGGCTCCACTTGATGAATATGGTATACTCTAAACCATTTCGCGCCAAACTCAAAACTCTGATCTGAAAGTATAGCATTAAGGGTTGGTGCTACAGGATTACTTAGGCAACCAAAATGGGGACACCTTAAGGAATTACATGCTGCAATAAAGTTGTGTGAAAGGCCTCTGCTTTCTGGACTGCGAACTGCAATACCTATTGGGAAGCTACAAACTGTAAGAAAAATCCATCAGTACCTTCTCCTGCTTGATATAATGAAAAATGTAGTAACATTGATCTTTATGTCTTCTTTAACAGGCTTTTGTGTTCGGGAAGAATGCGGACCTATGTGCTGCCTTACTCGTTAACCAAGACAAAAACGATTCTACTGTGCAGTTTCTTGATTCTTCATACCTTTTATCTCCAAATTCTATAAGTGTCCTGCCAGACTGCAAGAATGTAGCCTTCAACACAGCCAAGGTAAGCTCATAGATTTAGACTATCATTTATGCATCTTTCTTCTTTTGATGCCTTCATTTATCCTTTGTGGTGTGGATAGGTCAATGCGCAATACAACACGAGAAGAAGGGAACCAAGACAAAATTTGTCTTCTTCTCACATGTGGGAGGTATTTACTGAAACTGTCCCGAGTTACAGTGAAACGTCAATAAGATCAGAATCCTTGCTTGAGCACCTGAACACGACACAGGATACTTCGGACTATCTCTGGCAAATATTTAGGTAAAGCCAATTTCATTCCGGAAGATATACATCATTTATTAGGATAAGTAGTATATGCTAGGCTGGTTGGAGATTCCAGTAGTTACTATTTTTCTTTTGCGATACAGGTTTCAACAATCTGAACCAGCTGCATCAATTCTCAAAGTCAACCACATTGGGCATGTTCTACATGCATTTGTTAATGGGAGACTCATAGGTATGTTTTTGTATCTCGGAATCCTTCTGGCTACATCTCATCATTGCCATTTTATTTAACTGCTTCTAATATTGAGTATTCTTTAGGTTCTATGCACGGTGCTTTCAAAGCGCAGAAATTTTTGCTAGAGAAAAATGTGTCACTGATTAATGGCACAAATAGCATCGCATTACTCAGCGTAATGGTAGGATTGCCGGTGAGCCCCAATCTTTTCTTCTGGATCTAAGTAATATTTTTTTCCAAACAGAGTACTTCCACATACGTGTCTGAAGCTGAGTATCAAAAACACCATATGAAGTCCATTTTTTCTGAAGTCGTTTTCTCTTTGGATCACAGAATTCAGGAGCACATCTAGAAAGGAGAGTTGGTGGATCACGGAGCGTAAAGATTTGGAATGGGAAATATGCACTGTACTTCAACAAATATGCCTGGGGATATCAGGTAAAACTTCTGACTTTGATTCGTCGTCAACAGATCTTATCTTTCTTCATGTTAACTGATACTGGCTGAAAATCGTTGTGGAGGTTGGGCTACATGGGGAGCAAGTACATGTTTACACTGATAATGGGGCGGCCAAAGTAAAGTGGAAGCAGTACAGAGACTATAATAGTCAGCCTCTAACTTGGTACAAGGTATAGGACAACACAATCGTAAAATAGTACTAGTTCAATATATTACTCAAACTTCACTCTCTGAGGTATTTTTATATCTACAGGCCTCATTTGACACACCAGAGGGGAAAGATCCCGTGGCCTTGAACCTAGGATCAATGGGAAAAGGAGAAGCTTGGGTGAATGGCCAGAGTATTGGTCGGTACTGGGTCTCATTTCATACTTCTAAGGGGAGCCCTTCCCAGATATGGTATGATATTGTTCACTTTTCTAATTGAATTATCTTGGTATATTGATTGGATGTTATTTATTGAAGCTATGTTCTCCTATTTTAAGGTACCATATACCGAGATCTTTTCTTAAACCCAAGAGTAACTCACTAGTCATTTTCGAAGAAGAAAGAGAAGGGAATCCTCTTGGTATAACTATAGACACAGTGTCAGTCACCGAAGTCTGTGGTCATGTCTCCAATTCATATCCTCCTCCTGTGATTTTTTGGAAAAGAAAAAGCCACAAACGAAATGAACACCGACATCGAAAACACCGGTATGATATGAGGCCTAAGGTTCAGCTCCAGTGTTCTAATGGCAGGAAAATTTCAAAGGTTTTGTTTGCAAGCTTTGGTACTCCAAATGGAAATTGTTGGAGCTATTCGGTTGGAAAATGTCACTCACCCAAATCTCTAGCTGTTATACAGAAGGTAAGTTACTGTCCCTGTAAATTTTACCTGTTCACTGAAATCGTAAAGCCCAAACAAATGTTCTTGTGAATTTGTGCAGGCTTGTCTGAGCAAGAGTAGGTGTTCTGTTCCAGTATGGAGCAAAACATTTGGTGGTGATTCATGTCCACACTCTGTTAAATCCCTGCTTGTTCACGCTCAATGCTCATGAGAGTCCAATTCTTTAGTACAAATTTCTCTTCATTTTTTTTGTTTCTTTCCTATTACTAAGTATGAACAAATAACAAAAGTATCAATGAAATATTACAAAAGCACAATACAAGATTTGAGTTCCATAGGAAACATCTTGAGAACATGTAAATCACTCTCAAATCAGTGCAGCCGCCAGCAATTAGCCTCCATTTACTCAGTCAACCAGTTAGATCTTCCGAGGGCTCTGGCTTAAACCAAGTCTACAATTAGTGTTTCAATCAAACTATCCAATTCATCATGAAAGCCAGGCAAAATTGAGCGAATAATTCACCACCGCATTAACCAACATCAATCTCATGAAGATCCGATTTCCCGACTTGATCTTTTCGAGCCATGACCGGTTTGATCTTCATGACTCTTCTATATCTATGTTCAATTCCTTCTCTGATTCTCTTATGCAGCTCTTCATCAAGTGTACTCGACATTCCCTCTGAGCTTAAAGCATCCAACACCACCTTATATGTATACTCTCTCGGAACTAACCCGGCCTCCACCATCTCTACCATCAAATCCCGAGCCTCGGCCGCTCTTCTGGTCTCAACAAGAGCGTGTATTAGCGGCGTGTATGTGCTTGAACCAGGTACACCATGACCCATCTTCTTCATTGTCCTCATCATATCAACTGCACGTTCTATCTCATTGGTAACACTGTAATACCTTACGAAAGAATTATACGTCACCTGGTTCGGGACGCACTCTCTCTTCTTCATATCATCAAACAGCTCCAGAGCCCGACCGATCCGATTCGTTTTGCAACATCCATCGATCAAACAATTGTAAGTCACCACATCGGGTACAAACCCCCTGAACAGCATTTCCCGAAACATTCGATTAGCCTCCCACATTCTCCTCCTTATCGCCTTTCTGCATCCGGTTTGCATCCCGTATTTACAGTATGAGCTTATGAAAATGGTGTAAGTATAGGTGTCTGGTGGGTATCGGAATCCCGGTAATTGCATCTGATCCAACAAAAATCGAGCCTTTTTGAAGTTCCCTACTCGGCAAAGAGAGTTGATTATTGTGTTGTAAGCATAGACATCAGGTTTGCAATGATATTCCTTCATCCTATAAAAGGTAGCTAATGCCTCTTTCACAAAGCCTTCTTCTCCTAGGCATTTCATCAAACACGTTATAGACGCTGTGGTGACCACATTTCGTCCATTCTCTCTTCTAGAGACTTGCCGGAGAAAATCCCAGAGACCTTTAAAGTCATTTCCTTTGGCCAACAAACATGCCATATCTCTACAAGTGATCTCATTATGATCGAAACCGAAATGGGTCTCCACCCAAAAGAAGAACTCTATGGCTTTCTGCAACCCGAGAGAAACTTTCTTAGGATCCATATACGCGCCGGGACCCATAACAAGGACTTCAGAACGGCGTCGTTGTGACTCGTCACGGAGGTTCCTCTGTTTCAACGGAGACCGGTGGCGAAAACCCTTTTGCCGACCTATGGATCGTGGGGATATGAAGAAGAATCTTGGAATAGAGCGGAGGACATCGGAGACGATCTGTTGACTCCACGGACTCGAGACCGTCACAGAGGCTAGTACGGCGTCGAATGGGCGGTTCTGGATCATGGCGGTGATGAGCTGATCAATAATGCGGTTGCTTAGCGGTTGCGACGGTTTCATGGTGTTCTGAAACTATGGCAAAAGGTACTAACTTCGAAATTAAATTTGTTTTTCCCAGAAAATCTCTGAAGTTGTTTCAGTAAATTTCAATTTAGGCATATACTTTTTGAAGTGATTGATTCGCCCTTCACTAATGATCAGAGATGTATATAATACAATCGCCCTTTTTGAAATACACTTCATACAAAATAAAATAAGATTTGACTTTCACATCTTCTTACATTCCTTTCTCCCACACTCAAAACTTCAAAATTTTGGGTTGTCTTTGGTAAATCCACCACAATGGACATATTATATTGACATTAGATAATAGCCATTTAGGACCCTACACTATATAAATATTCCATTATAGCCCAAGATTTGCTTTAATTTGATTTGAGCGATTCAAGCTTTCCTTGGTTCGGATGGCTAAATAACCGATCTCGAGACGTTCATCCAAATGTGCTCAAAAGAGCCCAAACCCGACCCATTCAGCTTCGTTGGCGATTCGTGGCGAGAATCGGAGCGAAGAGAACGACGATTTCGGCGAGTCCCATCTCGGAGAAACCGATCTTCGGCTAGAAACAGTCCACGGCGACATCGTCTCCTTATCGGAGCAGTAATCACGCTCCGATCTCGACCCGGTTTTTCTCCGACCACTGCTCTTGTTCTTCCTCAACCTAAACTTAGGCGTCGGGAAACACCCCAACCCGGCAACAGCAAAATCGGGTCTGGGTTCGGACTCGGATCCGGGTCTGCCCCGGTTAGGGCGGTGGAGCTGCCACCGTTCAGAGAAAGCACGCGGGGATGATCGGAAAGAAGGTCCCGGAGAGTAGAATGGAGATTGGGACGGTGGTGGCGGTTTGAGCTTCGATGGAGTAGAAAAGGAAGGAGTGAGAGGAGACAAAGGACGGCTTTTGGAATTGGAGATGAAAGAAGACGACGGCGGAGATAACGCCGGCAGGTTAAGTGGCTGAGAGTGAGACAATGGTTTTAAACGGAGAGGAGAGAGTTTCTTGGGAGGCTGAAGCAGAGGAGTGTTACCGGGTTGAGAATTTCGGGTCTTGGGTACACCGGGTCGGATCTCCCAGCTGAAAGGTACGGTTCCTGGTCTCTTGAAAGAATCGTCAACGGCAACAATGGCCATTGCTTTTGTTTTTAAGAGAGATGAAACAAAAACAGAGAGAGAGAGAGAGAGAGAGAGAGAGATGACTTATAGAGTTGGATTAAGATTCTTAATCTAAGAATGAGCTTAATGTCTTTTATATGAGGACAAAACATGAGATAGGAGAGAGAAAGAGAGATGAGAGGCGAGATTAGAGGAAGATAGAAGTGGGTGGCGGGAGAGATTAGAGAAGTTTATCTGTGTATTTGACTTGTTTCAATATGTCCCCACCATTATTAACATAACTTTTCAATTATGCAATGGTCACCACAAGTATTCAAATTTCCAACTCTAATTGGATTACAATACCCACATACAAAAATCTTAATTTTTGTACATTTTATCGTCAAAAATATTCTGTCTTTTAATCTAGGCCATGAGACCTGCAGACTACTTTGAAGAATATACAAGTACTTATTTTAACTTTTAGCTGACTTCTTAAATTATTCAGTTTTGGTATATACCACAATGACTTAATGATATGTATGTACAATATAATAGGTCGACAGAATGAAAAAGGCTAAAGGTTTTTAAAAATCAAGTTTTCAAGTGCTCTAAAATAGTTATAGCACGCGGTCTCTCATGATTTAGACGTGAAAGGGAAAAATGAAACCAAACCAAAGAGAATTTGGGGTAAAAAATTCAAACTTTGAAATGATCGATCAGTGACCTTTTTCCCTTACATGAAACGCAAAAAGGGATAACCACTTACATTTGTCTTGTCTGCAAAAGATTCCAACTTTTGGTTTTAAAAAACTGTAGAAAGGCATGATGATGATATTTGTCACGTAAAGGTCAAACCAAACTTCAAACAACCACCATGGAATCAAGAAGTGGAGCTACAAATTGGAATTGTGGAAAGATCACAATATTGTATTGCTTGCCACGTCCAGTAGCAGCAGGTACTTATCAGCGCCGTCTACAAGACTCTTATCGCATAAAAAATGTAGATTATAAACCATGGAGCGAACAGAAACAGATTAACAGTTTCTTATGATCATGAAAGATAAATAGTTTTATAGTTAATCAGAAAACAACACATCATTTGAAAGCAGAATCTCAGCATATACTGCATCACCCTCAAATTACCCCCACAGACTAATCAACAACAAACAAATCAATCACACATTTATCCACAATAAGCCAAAAATACAAAGCAACAAATAATTAAAAAACCGGCACTTCGATTTTCCAGAACTCAGTTTATAAATAAAAGAAAGCAATTTCCATGATTGGTCTACAAGGCCAGAACCAAATTCAGCATCTAGGGTTTCTTCTAATCCAACATTTCAAAATCTAAATTTTTGATTCCAAACACCGACTAAATTACGTTATAAATCAGACTCCATAGACTACTTAGAGTTTTTTCTTGTTAAACCCTCTTTTGCGTAAAGAGGGTTCAATGATGCTTTAGCCAAAGGGTTTGGTGAATCAAAAAGTTTCGCGCTTAACAATAGTGGGACCCATTGAATATCAATCTCGTAAGTCGTAACGGTTTTTGACTTGAAGCGACGGCCAGGATTGATCCATTTTTCTATTAATAAATAAGAAATAGAAAAACCCTCCCGAGTTTTCATTTTCCGTTCTTCCTTCTCTTCTCGTTCAAGATCTCTCTCTCTTTCTCTCAGAAGAGAAACCCTAAATCTGACCGGAAAATCTCGACGCCGAATCGGAGATCTTCCTTTTTTTTCATCAACAATGTCTTCCTCGGCTAAACGGACATCTTCCTCGTCGTCATCGGGGAATCTATCCCAGGAGAATCCGGTTTCTCGGTCGAACGTAGCCAAGACTCGAATCCCACTCGGCGATGGTGGAATCCACCGTAACGCCCTCGGCGACATCACTAACCAGAAGAATGGATCTAGAATTTCCGCTTCGTCGTCTACTCTGGTAAATTAATTTGGATTCTCTCCTCGTCTTTTGTTTCCTTTTCAATTCCGGTGTGTGTTCGAAGAGAAAATCAGTTTTGGGGTTTATCCTGGAATTGCAGTCTATGAGTAATCTGAAAATGGTTCATTTTTGAAGGTGCATTGTTCTAATAAAATCGGCCAATCAAAGAAAGCACCAAAAACTGCTTTATCTCGTAATCGGAATTTGGGAATTCTCGATAGCGGTTTGCCTCCCAAGCCAAATGAGAAATCAAACATAATCGTTCCTTACGAAGACATCGACTTGCCTCAACCCAATGAAAATCTTCTTGCTTCATCACAAGGATCATCCGTGGATGCCTCTCCCACTCAATCAGCATCGACTCGTGACTCTTCCAAGAGCCCCAAAGTTGAGTATATGGTCGACAGCAGTATTGCTCTCCCGGAGCATGCAGATTCATCATACTCAGATTTGGGAAAAGATGATAAGATTGTGAATATCGATAGTAACTTGATGGATCCACAGCTTTGTGGTGCCTTTTCTTACGACATCTACGAGCACTTGCGTGAATCCGAGGTGGGTTTGCTGTAAAGTTTTCTCTGGCATAGTTCTTGTACCAACTTGCTCTGTTTTTGAGTTCGCTCGTTACTCTTTTCAGGTTAAGAAAAGGCCGGCTCTAGATTACATGGACAGAATTCAGCTAAACATCAATGCTAGCATGCGTTCCATACTGATTGACTGGCTCGTGGAGGTAAGCTTTCGATGAATCCGGTTCATTAAAGCAATGTATTTAGTTTTGATTGATGAGGAAAGACGTGTATTTGTAGATAAAACAGTTATGGATAAAACGTTTCTTTATAGATTTTCCACTGGTAGGTAATTTATAAAGCTGTTCTTTCATAAAACTGCAGGTTGCTGAAGAGTATAGGCTTTTGTCCGAGACGTTGTATTTGGCAGTGAACTATGTAGACCGGTACCTTTCAGGCAATGTAATTACCAAGCAAAACCTGCAGTTACTTGGTATTTCATGCATGATGATAGCAGCGTAAGAAATCTAGAAATTTGGCTCTGAGGGTTTATACTTTGTCTTCTTCAGAAGTATGCAGTTCCTAACTAGTTTACATACTGAACTTCCAGAAAATATGAAGAAGTGTGTGTGCCCCAAGTGGAGGATTTCTGCTACATCACTGATAACACATACTTAAGAAACGAGGTTTGTGCTTTGTTCTTCCGTGGAAAGACTTATTCTTGTGGTTTGATATGCCAGTAATGCATCGTTATCCTTAACTTCTTTTTAACAGGTTTTGGAGATGGAGTCTTCTGTTCTGAATTACTTGAAGTTCGAATTAACAACTCCAACAGCAAAATGTTTCTTGAGGTAGCTTCTGATCATATTGATGTTACTTCGATCATCCCTTTTTTTTGTGGTGGTTCCCTGCTGATCTGGAATTGTTAAAATGGTGGGTAGGCGCTTTGTTCGTGCTGCTCAAGGCAAAAAGGAGGTATAGTGTTTGTTATTTGAAAATTGAAGGATGAGCTCCCGACGCAATGGGTGATGTGTTATAAACGATTCTAACTGGTTACTGCTTCATATTAGGTACCATCACTGCTGTTTGAGTGTCTAGCCAGCTATCTCACCGAATTATCTCTCTTGGACTATGCTATGCTTCGATACGCTCCATCACTTGTGGCAGCCTCTGCAGTTTTCTTGGCACAGTACATACTACACCCTTCAAGAGAACCATGGGTATATGACCAGAAAACTGTATTGGCAATCCTATTTTCTTTAGTACTTAAGCCTTGTTCAATTCAGGTGTTGTAATAAGAAAAACTGTCAATTTGGGGGTTTTGCAGAACGCTACGTTAGAGCATTACACATCGTACAGGGCGAAAGATTTGGAAGGATGCGTTAAGAGTCTTCTTCAGCTGTGCCACGAGAGTCCCTCAGCTGATGTAGTTGCAGTCAGGAAGAAGTACAGTCAACACAAAGTAACAAAGCACTCCACTTCTTTGATTATTAGCAGCTTCATATAATTAAGATGCTTGAGATGTTTACTCTTTTTTTCTTTTTCTTTTTTCTTCTGGCAGTACAAGTTTGCAGCAAAGAAGTTTTGCCCCGCCTCACTACCACAAGAGCTTTTCATCTGCTAGAGGGTTATTTCCTCTCGTCTTGTAGATATTGTTGAAAAACTCATCGGGTCAAACAAATGTATTCAATTCTCGATAGATGTGTAGATGATAGTACTACTTATCAATACAAAGGGTAGTATCGTTACAAGTATGTGAATAGAGTTCTGAGCCATACGGTTGTGGTGGTTTGGAGTTTGTTGCAACCGTCTTTGTGTTACCATTTGTGTAAAAAGCTGTTGTAGTGGAATTGCCTCTAAAATGATAAGAATTGGGAATCAAACAAAACGTTTTATACTGAACTATAAAATGTTCCTAAACATTTCGTTTCCTTAATGCTCTCTCTGTTTTATTATAGTTAATGAAGTAAAGCAACATGCATTAGTATTATTCATTTAATTTAAAGAAGAAACATGCATTAATTAGATGTAGGAAATCAAATATTATAAAACAAGGAAAAAAATCTAGAAAATCAACTATAATGAAACAGATGGAGTATTTGTAGTAATAAACACAACCTTCTTTATTTTATTTATTAAAAACAACCAAACTTCCTCGGAATGAAACAAAACATAGGTTATTCTCTTTGCAGTGTTGACTTCTTTTTTTTTTTTTTTTGCGCGGTGTTGACTTCAATTTTTGGGTTAATTAACTTGATTCATAGATTTCGGACACCAAAGATTTCGTTGGCATTGCAGATTTCTGCGAAGTTAGTAGTCCACAAGACATTAGTAACCACAATGTCCCTATGGTTGCCAACATCCTTTTTTTTAATTTAAATGAGAAAATAAGTTATATGGGTTAACCAAAAAAACCGTTTCATCAGTTGTGCAGACATGGAAAATGTTACGTTAAATAGAATTACGTACTATTCTTTATGGTCCAACCATGCATTCTCTCTATGTTGGAAATGAAAGCATGTTCATTTTTTATGGTCTACGCACATGTCCTTCTAAAAAAGAAATGAGATAATGTATTATATATGGTCTAAGCATGCATCCCTCTAAATGGGAAATTAAATTATGTTTGCTATCAGACTAGAAAAGTTTTTAGGAACTAAAATAAATGAAATAAAATAAAGAATGGGTGTTGAAGGAAGAGAAGTGTCAAATGAGTATGAATATTTATTTATTTATCTCTTTATAAAAGGAAACAATTTAACCAGAATGTAGTAGTGATTTTTTTTTTTTTGGTAGTGAGTATATTCGATAATTTATTTGTAAAATTGATTTTAAATAATATTTAAAATTTTCCCTTTTGTTCATCTCCAAAAGAGTGGAGGAATATGAACTGATCTGTAGTCTTAATCTTAGGTGAATTTTCGAGCAATAAAGGCTAGTTCCGTTTGTGATTTTATGTGATTTTGTTCATGGAAGATGATTAGTATTTGAGTTGAATGAGAATGATGGTTGCGTGATAGTCTTATAGCTATTTGTGTAATGATCCTAAATGTACAAAACACACGTATATATTAACTCATGTAAATTTCATGCGACTTTGAATTATAAACTTTATACTTTGTATAACCGTTATGTTGGTCGATTCTTACTTTCATGGCAGTGAAAACCTCTCCCGGGTATGTTTGACTACACTATTGTATAGAGCCATAACAAATATCATTTCTATATGCTTCTCTTTGTTTCACTATAACAAGAACATAAGGAAGTTAGGAATCTTTTCTTGATGATCCTAATTAAATTAGAAGCACTTACTAGGAAAGTTATGGGTTACATTCAGAAATACGAACTAGGAACTTGCGGTTGTCGCCATGCGCAGGAGTTTGGTAGCAGAAAATGGCTGTGATTGAATTGATCTTGCGGTTGCAAGTGAAGCCAGTAATCTATACGAAATATATGATAAGAGTTATACAGGTACGGTTAGGTGCTTCAATACCTCATCTTTCTTTTTTTTTCTTCTCCTTGATGGATTTTGATGAATTTGAGTATCATTTGGTGTGTGTGGAAGAAAGTATATAGCAACGATGAGAAATAGTGGATGAATTATAAGAGAAGATGTCCAAGTTGAGCCATAGAAACGTGCGTGTGTGGATTTTTTTTTGCCCCTTCCTGCATTACAAATTTACAACGTTCGTGGTGTATTATTAATTAAGAGATTTTTAATTTGGAGAAGTTCATAGTCCACAAGACATTACTAAAAACATAGAGGAAACCACCCAAATCGCCTAAGAATGATAGGAATTGACAATTTTAACAAAACCTGAAGTAAGGATCGATCGTCATAAAGTATGAAGTATACAAATTATGTAACAGGATGAAGAATCACTACAAAGTTGGGTTGCCCTGCCGAATTTTAATATCGAATAAAAGAAGAATATAATTCCTTTAAATAGGAATACAGCTCCATACCATAATATTAACTTTCCTTGCGAGTTGAAATTATAAAAATCAATGATCATTACAATTGATAAAATACGATCTATAGTGGACCAAATCTTTTGTTTAACTATCGAAAACCAATAAACCATGTGAAAATAAGTGTAGAGTATTCATTATAAACTTTCTCTTTAGATATTTGTAGATGTAGCCACGGAGTGGGTTGGCCAATTAATGACGGAAAGCTAGATGTTACAAAGATACAACTATAAAGATTCGTATGGTGGTTCTTACTATTTTCTTTTCAATAAGAATAGTTGTTTAACTTATCAGAATAAAAATAGTTGTTAAATGTTAGTGTTGTCTTAAGTTAATTTGTCGCCAAAGCTTACTTAAAGTTGTCTAATTATCAACACTCTTTGCGTCATCTTGATCAAGATGACACTACATGCATATTTGTATTGTTCATGACCAACTCTCTTCAGCTGATCTGCAAGCATGTCAGCTCGGATGCAGTAACAGAAGTCATACTTGATCATAATCATAGCAACACTACATGCATATCTGTATATATTTGTTGATGACAATACAGATTTTTTCCTGAAATCAACATGAGAACATATTAATTATTGTTGTCTTTTGTCAATAATGTATTTATATATTTGATCATGTCTCCATGACAACATAAAACGTCATACTTCAACACGGTAATTTTACTTTCTAACTGTCATAGATATACAAAAGAATTTTCAATGCGTTCCATGTAAATTATCTTGTTAGTAGTGGAGTTCAAATTTAATACGTAAAATACAGATTCATTTTGCTAAATAATTTGTCCACTACCAAACCGGCCTGATATTTTGTAATATCAAATAATAATTTATATAGGCTAAATGGCTAATTATAGCTAGTGCAATATATCTAAATCGAAACCTAACCGGGAATAGTAAGCAAGGAATCCGATGCCCTTCTTTCGCCAAATTGGAATGAGATAAATCGCAACGGCTGGAAATTATATAAAAAGGAGTACTAGCTCAAGTGTCGAGATGATAAACACATGGCGATATGTATACTCTTAAAAATATACTCCACTGGAGTATTATTAATTTTACTATATAGTGAGAGGATAACACTTTAAAAGGAACAAGTTGGAGAAAGTGGCTTGATGATGAAAGGCGTTTCTGGTTCACTCTTTTAAATTCATTTAATTGAGGATGGCTGTGTGTGTCTGCTTAAATCAAGTGGATCATCTGAACGAACGAACCCTATTCTCTTTCTTGATCTCCTCGATCTTTCTAATATCATTAAGAACTTCTTTTTAAATATACACATGGAAAGTAAAGATCTACCATTAGTTAAGATGAATCAGTACTTTAAAAAAGAAGAAGATGATCAGTACAGTTTGTATGTGTTCTTGCGGTTAAACGCAGACTTGGAGTTAAAAAGATTCTTTTCTATTGGACTATTTTCCTTTGAATTTTAGTCTTATGACTTATGGTCTGAAGACAGTTTTGATATAAATTCCTAATGGAAGATTTGCTTTCCCACGAATCAAATTTATATATGGTAGTGTAATGAAAACTTTATAGTAGAGATTTGAAAAAGAGAAAACAACAAGAAAACCTTAAACTTTCACGAACCCAATGCAATAATTTAAGATTATATTCTTTACCAAAAAAAAAAAATTATGATTATAAACAATCTTTTTAGGTGTTACTTTGTGTAGTAATTTCTATTCAAGTTTTTTTTTTATGATTATAAATCTTAAGTAAACCCGTAAAAGTTTATGTTTATTGAATACTCTAAAATAAATTAGTCGTGAGTGAAAATAACATGAAGTTATTCAAAGTTGAACAATGACATTAAGTCATTTCCACACACGTACAGAAAAAAGTTATTCAAAGTTGAACAATGACATTAAGTCCAAATGAAAACGATGGCAGCATCTTGGACTCACATTTCCTCCTATTCCCATATTTCTTTCTTCTTAGTTTTTTATACAGTACTATTTTCGTTTTATAATTATTCATATAGATAGATAGATCATCAAGTCAAATTTTTACAAAAGAACACATGATTATGGTCCTACCAACTTTTTACCAATTTGCTTTTTTTCTTTCTTTTGGTATTAACTTTCTACCAAATTCTGTGTATATAAATCTGTACTCCAGTGTCAGTTTCTCTTCATCCACCTTCTCTTTCGTCTTCTTCTTCTTCTTTGAATTAGAAACTCCAAGACGGTTAAAAGAAAACAGAGGTCGTCAAAAAAGAATTGTTAGTTCTGATTATATCTGCGTATTGATTTCTTCGAAAAACGCATTAAATAGTACCCATACAATTTCCTTTAGCATCTGTCTTTATCATCTAAAGGTCAACAGTTACAAACTACAAACGCATAATTTTAAGTTCCAACATTCAACACACAAACACACAAAAAAAGAACAGAGCAAAAAAAAAAAAAAAAAATGAATCACAACCAGCAAGCAGCTTTCGCCGTCGATATGCCACAACCCGGCGGCTCCAAGTGCTTCGACGACGACGGTCGAATCAAACGAACTGGTAACAATGTTTCCCTTTCTCTCTCTCTTTCTCTCTTTTTCCTTATTGAAAAGAAAAGAAAGTTGAAGTTTTTAAGTACTTTTGGGTCGTTTTAGGGAGTGTTTGGACGGCGAGTGCGCACATTATAACGGCGGTGATAGGATCGGGAGTTTTGTCGCTAGCGTGGGCTACGGCGCAGCTAGGTTGGCTCGCCGGACCTGTGGTGATGTTGCTCTTCTCCGTCGTCACTTATTTCACGTCTACTCTCCTCGCTGCCTGTTATCGCTCCGGCGACCCAATCTCCGGCAAGAGGAACTACACTTATATGGACGCCGTCCGATCAAATCTTGGTAAATAATACAAATTATAAGAAGAGATTCTTTAACAAAGATAGACGGTGGAGAATAGTAATTAGAAGAATATTAACATGTTACACTCTCTGGATAGGTGGCGTGAAGGTCAAGCTATGTGGGATTGTTCAGTATCTTAACCTCTTTGGTGTTGCAATTGGTTACACAATTGCCTCAGCTATAAGCATGATGTGAGTGTTCTCTCACTTATAAAGCTACCAAATTTGAGTGTTCCTTGGTAATGGGTTATGATATTTTTTTGTGGTTTTTAAATGGATAACAGGGCAATTAAGAGATCCAACTGTTTCCACAAGAGTGGAGGGAAAGATCCATGTCACATGAACAGTAACCCTTATATGATAGCTTTTGGATTAGTCCAGATTATATTCTCTCAGATTCCAGATTTTGATCAGCTTTGGTGGCTCTCTATCCTCGCCGCCGTCATGTCCTTCACTTATTCCTCCGCCGGTCTCGCTCTCGGCATCGCTCAAGTCGTAGGTCCGTCCGTAATAAGAAGAGGAAAAAAAACCTCTTAAATGGTCTTAGTGATTTTATAAGTAATGAGTTGCTAAATGTGAAAAAAGGAAATGTCATTTTGTTTTGTTTATTTTGGTTTCCATCAGCAAATGGGAAGGTGAAGGGAAGTCTCACTGGGATTAGCATAGGAGCAGTGACAGAGACACAGAAGATATGGAGAAGCTTTCAAGCTCTTGGAGACATTGCTTTTGCTTACTCTTACTCCATCATTCTTATTGAGATTCAGGTACTACTCCATCTTCTTTACAAGTCGTCATGCTTAAAGGCATGCATTCTTGGTCCCATCCTCAAGCTTTTTTTTTTTTTACTTTTATCTGAAAAAACAGGACACAGTGAAGTCACCACCATCAGAAGAGAAAACGATGAAGAAAGCGACACTTGTGAGCGTAGGTGTAACGACTATGTTCTACATGTTGTGTGGTTGTATGGGATATGCAGCCTTTGGAGACATGTCTCCGGGAAATCTCCTAACCGGTTTCGGGTTTTATAACCCTTATTGGCTTCTTGACATTGCAAACGCAGCCATTGTGGTTCACCTCATTGGTGCATACCAAGTCTATTGCCAACCTTTATTTGCCTTCATCGAGAAGCAAGCTTCCATTAGGTTCCCTGGTAACAAGTTCATAGCGAAAGATATCAAAATCCCCATTCCTGGTTTCAAGCCTTTCCGTTTGAATTTCTTCAGGTAAAGAGTCTTATTTATCAGTTTATAAGTTTTATATGTAAATACTCAAAAGATTTTGTGTGGTGTGGAATGGCTTACACAGGTTGATATGGAGGACAGTGTTTGTGATGATAACGACACTTATATCAATGCTTCTTCCGTTTTTCAACGATGTTGTGGGACTGCTCGGGGCACTAGGGTTTTGGCCATTGACGGTGTATTTTCCGGTGGAAATGTACATTGAGCAGAAGAAGATAGCTAGATGGAGCACCCAATGGGTTTGTCTTCAAGTCTTCAGCTCAGCTTGTTTGGTAGTTAGCATTGCTGCAGCTGCAGGGTCGATAGCTGGAGTTGTTCTTGATCTCAAGTCCTACAAGCCATTTCGAAGCGATTACTGATAAAATTTTCTAAAGTCATTTTTAGACACAGAGGACGGATCAAGAACGGTCAAGAGAATGAAGAACCGTGAAATGTGATATATTGATTAGCTTGTGTTTGATAGATAAAAAGCAAATAAGGATGAAGTTTCTTCTCTGTAATCTTATCTTTCAGCTGTAGGATCCTCCGTATCCAAATCGTAAGAATTGTAGTTTTAATGTGTAAATCTCTGATTTAGCAACATCATTAGCACATTCATGTAAGATGTGTAAGCCAAAGCACTGGTTACTGGTCGGAATGGTGTCTTACCATTGGTCAAACTAGGGCACAAATCCTGATTGTCGTTTAAGTGCCGCCATGTATTCGCATATTTTGGGCCTTTCTTTTCCTTTACTAATGGGCTTTTACATGTGGCCCACTTATCTCTCTTTTGAAACGCTGCGTATTCCTCGCTGGTCTTCAGTCTTCCGTCACTCGACGCTCTCGCCGACTGGGCTTTCTAGCCTCCGGTGAGCAAAACCACAGTTCCTGAAAAAAGTTCCCACTTGTTACGTAAAGGTAAAACCCACGATTTTCTGATAAAGTAGGTATATGATTCCATATATGTATATATATATCTCTGTTGTGTGTATTGGCTTGTGTTTTTAGTTATGTTCATTAACTGTTCGATGAAATGCCTCACAAACGCATATACCACTTGGCTGTTTATACGTCGTCCTCCTCACTTTTTTTTTTTTTTTTGTGTCGGCGATGGGAATGTAGCTCTGCTTCTTTGGTTTGGGTTCGATTCAACATGACGATCAGAGTTCTCAATTGTCAATCCAGATTATCTCTGCGAAGATATATTGTGTCTGCGAAGCTGTATAGTTCAGGTGGACAAGCCATAGATGTTGCGGTTGTGGCAAATAAGATTTCTAAAGTAATGATGTCCTCTCCGCAACCCGTGCTTGACTCGGCATTAGACCAAAGCGGTTTAAGGGTCTCACCGGAAGTAGTAGAAAATGTTCTAAACAGATTCAGGAACGCTGGTTTGTTGGCATACAGGTTCTTTCAATGGTCTGAGAAGCAACGGCATTACGAGCACAGTGTTCGAGCTTACCACATGATGATCGAGTCTACGGCAAAGATAAAGCAGTACAAGCTCATGTGGGATCTCATCAACTCTATGAGGAAGAAGAAGACGCTAAATATCGAGACTTTTTGTATCGTAATGAGGAAGTACGCAAGGGCGCAGAAAGTGGACGAGGCGATCTATGCGTTCAATGTGATGGAGAAGTATGATTTGCCACCGAATCTTGTTGCGTTCAATGGATTGTTGAGTGCTTTGTGTAAATCCAAGAATGTGAGGAAAGCGCAGGAGATATTCGAGAAGATGAGAGATCGGTTTACTCCTGACTCCAAAACTTATAGCATTTTGCTTGCTGGATGGGGCAAAGAACCCAATTTGCCAAAGGCAAGGGAAGTTTTCCGGGACATGATCAATGCGGGTTGTGATCCGGATATAGTGACCTACAGTATGATGGTTGATATTCTTTGTAAAGCTGGAAGAGTTGCTGAAGCTCTTGGCATTGTGAGGAGCATGAATCCAAGTATCTGCAAGCCGACCACTTTTATCTATAGTGTGCTTGTGCATACTTGTGGAACTGAGAACCGGCTTGAAGAGGCGGTTGATACGTTCCTAGAGATGGAAAGAAGTGGAATAGAACCAGATGTAGCGGTTTTCAATTCATTGATCGGCGCATTCTGCAAAGCAAATAGGATGAAGAATGTGTATAGGGTTTTGAAAGAAATGAAGGTTAAGGGTGTGACGCCTAACTCCAAGTCATGTAACATCATTCTACGCCATCTAATAGATCGTGGTGAGAAAGATGAAGCTTTTGATGTGTTTAGGAAGATGATCAAAGTGTGTGAACCAGACGCAGACACGTACACGATGATGATAAAGATGTTTTGCGAGAAGAAAGAGATGAAGACTGCGGATAAAGTGTGGAAGTACATGAGGAAGAAAGGGGTTTTTCCCAGTATGCATACATTCTCGGTTCTTATTAACGGGTTGTGTGAGGAGCGTGATACACAGAAAGCTTGTGTTTTGTTAGAGGAGATGATCGAGATGGGGATTCGACCATCAGGTGTGACGTTTGGGAGATTAAGACAGCTGCTTCTCAAAGATGGTAGAGAAGATGTGCTCAAGTTTCTTAATGAGAAAATGAATCTTTTGGTCAATGACCCTTTGTGTGATTGACCTTCTTTGGTTTCATGTGAACCACATAGCTTAATACATCTCACAACATATTTGGTTTTGTCTGATTTGCTCAGGATCCATTTCAATTGTTGTAAAGTTGTAACTGAAGTTGATAAGCTACTGTTATGGTTTTGATACACGAGATATTAAATTAAAGAGATGAAACAAACCATTTGATGTGTCAGGTCGCAGATGATATCATATTAAGTCTAAAAGACACCAATCCAGTTTCTCTAAGAACATAAACACAACTAAAAAGATGACCTCTCTATGATTATAATCTGCAACGGAAATAGACTACGGTGTCTAAGTTCTCAGTTCATGAAGTAGGAATGTTCCTGTATCTTTCTAGTACCAAACAAAGTTTAAGTCCAAACTAATTTATATAACCAATTCCATTTTCTGGTTCAGTGCCTCTTAGACTTTGACTCGGTTTTGGATAGCATGTATCCCGAGATCTTGTTCATCTCGTACAATAGCCCAGCAGAGAACAGGAAACTGCAGGCAGATTAAGAAAAAAAAAAGCATTGTAATCACTAATCACCACATTGCTTTTAGCGAGAAAGGTTTGAAAAACAGGTAAGACGAAAAGTTCAAGCAGAGCTAGTGAGTTTCCACTTACCAGGTTGTAATACAAACCCGATGCACCGTGCTAGCAGCGATAAGAGCTATGATTTCTGCAAGAATGACTGCCACGACAATAAAAAAAAAAACTTTACTTCAATAAAATTGGTGTACCACTTTTTACGCAGCGGAAGCAGGAGTAGGCAAACAAATTAGAATACTTTGTCACTGTGTTTCTTACATTAATGATACAGATAATACATTCGATGACAATTTTCAAGTTCCAACAATTGATTCAATGAAAAAGCCTTTGTAACACATAAGAGCAATGCATTTGTAATATGTTATCAGAAAGTAAACTTAGAGCATCATCAAAATGTCCACTCTTAAATCCTCAAACTTCTGAACCAGAAGACAAAATTGAGGTAGACATATAAAAGTAGCCAGACCATAAGCAAGCTAGCTACAATTCCGATTTCAATTGTGTTGATTTCATGATATAAAAGCAAGGACAATTTATTGCCAAGAAAGAAGCATACCTGCACCCCAGCCACTCTTCATGCCAGAAGATTCCTGGAAATTTCCAATGAACTGCAAGTAAAGAACCCGGATCAATCGAAGCTGTAAATCAACAATGTAGAGGGATTCTAGAAAACAAAAAGGTCTCAAATTTCCAAAGGTAAGATCAATATTGGCACATGCTTGTGGTAAAGGGAGTGCATTTCCATGAAGACGAGGAGGTTTCTAAGAAGTGCGAGTAAAAGCATCGCAAAGGAGCTTACAGTAAGAGAAAACAAAAAGAGGAGAGAGCTGGTGAATCCTCCAAGGATCGTGAAGAGCTCTGAAGAAGCTAGCTTCCCTCTGTAAATTTCTTGAAACGAGAGGATCACTGTAAACACAAGAAGAGAGCCCAGCATGGATGTTCCAGATCCCGCCATGGTTCTAAATCCTAACCAAACAATCAAATCAATAGACACCAATCAGACACGAGTTTGATCGAAAAGTTTGACGATAACGAGAAAGCAACGGAAAAAAATCGAATGTGTGATGATTTACCTTAAAATCCCCGCCTTGATAGATCAGATCTTTGCTTCTCGCTCGTCACTGCCACAGTTCCACTTCCAAAATCGCAATAGAGGAGATGGAGAGAAATTGGGACTTGCCTTTTTACCATAAACACACATGTTAATCGCTAATATTACAGATATACCCTCGCGGACCAGTTGCGGTCAAGGGAAGCGAGAAATCGATATCGAACGCTGTCGTTTACTCGAGGCAAAAACGACCTAGTAGTAGACATGAACGCTGTCGTTTTGACCAAGCAAAAACGACTTCGTACGTAGTACGTATGTATATTTGATGAAGCATGTTACAAAGATTTACTATTTCAAAATTCTAAGAATACCAATAGTCTTATAGTACGTTACGTACGTACGTCCCCACATGGTAGACCTTGGTTAGTATCACTGAATTATCTGAGGAACTCAAAAATTTAGCTTGAATGAAAATTGGTGAACTATAAATCTATATATAACGAATAAATTGTGTCCATAAATAACTTGTTAAAAGACTTGGGAGTATTTCAAATGCGGGTTACAAATGAAATTTCAAGAGAATGGTGGAGAAACCGCGTTGTGACTTTGTTGGAGAGTAACTGTTTGGAGATATGGTGTTATCTTTCGACGGTATTATTGGATTAGGAACAAGAGAAATTGTTTTCGTACTAGATTGTTTGTTTCAAAGACCACTCTTTGTGTTTTATTACGGAAGAATTACACAAATTTCCAAGGCTGTGAATCTTTTTGATGAGATAATGTTATTTAACTTTTGGGAGCTATCACAAACCAAGGAGATAGTTGTAAGATTTCATCAGAGGGAACTAAGCCAACTTACCACTAAGCTTTCATGGCTAGGCATTCCTACAGGTAGATTAACAATATAAAAAGATTTGAGATCATGAGATCAGTTCCAATAAGGCCTAGTACTCTCAGTTTCATCATGAGGCTTCCATAGTTGAGAAACAAATATCTGAATCAATCAGGATACATACAATATCAAACATATATCGCTTTTAGTCCAACCATTTTTTGTTTGTTTGTTTAACTCTTAAGATTTAAAGTTAACATGGACGTATTATATAACAAAAAGAGGATTAAGGTTTAATTATAATTAAGATATAATCCGAATTGAAGTTGTTGAAACGTACGTGAAGAGATGGAAGAAATGATTTAAAGATAGTTTGACTTTTTTTGATAATGCAGTTAATTTAGTTTGCAATAAATTGCATTTGGAGTTGGCTCCTCCGCGTCGATGGAAAGCCAAAAATCGAAGACCATGACGTGGAATATTTTCATTGTACATTGATTCTGTGCCCATACAATTTGATTTGCATACATCATACGCTTCATATCTATAAAAATTTATTTTATTTTTAACCATCAATTACTAGATGTTAGACATGTAATTAATAAATCATAACCGATTTTCATAGTATCATTGCTTTATGGAAATATAACACCAAATCTGAATTTCATTCGAAATTTGCACTTTCAAACTAATAGAACTGATTAACTTTTAGATACAATATAGTATCGAATAAAATTAATCTCAGAATGCGTATTAGTACTATAGAGCCATATGGATCAAGATTTATTTATTTTGTTTATATTATAGTTTTGCCAGGATGAAAGAATTAATGTTATATTGTGTGTTTCACTTTCACACCAAAACATCAGGGATATATATATATATATATAATGTATAATTGGAGTCGGTAAATGAAGTGAAGATCCCCATAAAATGTCGGTAACGGTTAAAGTCTTAAAGAAGACGAAGATTATAGACGATAATAAGTTATTATGGTCAATTAGGTGCTCCAAAATATATGGAAACGAACCGACCACGTCTCACTGTTTACTTTGCGGAGTAAGCACATTTAATAAGTTTTTTTTTTTTTTTTACAAAAAAATTAACACCACAGAGCCAAGAATCAAACCAAGAAGATAATGTTTTTTTTCTTCTAATTTTTAAATATACAGTTTTTATAGTAGTACGTTCACTAGATTTGAGGATTTATAGCACTGTCGACATTAGTTCTTATTACAAGATTTAATTAGCTTTTTTCTTGTCTCGTTAAATGAACCTCATATATTATCGAGGAAGATGTTCATTCATTGAACCAAGCTGGTTATTTCGAATGGTCTTCTTTATTATGATATTATTATTTCCGGTTTACAGATTTTGATATTTTCTTTATAAAGATTGTCGATTTGCATTTTTTTTCAATACAATTAAGACTAACTGAGACAAAATTGGTTAAGACAGACTTAAAATGATATTTAATTAATTTAAAAAAAAGTACAATACAAACAGTATTTTATTATACGTAAATACATTATAAACGGACATCTATAGTGATCAAAACTAAGCGATTAATTAGACAACATTTTTATAATATACGATTTCGGTGGATAATTTTATAATAAACAGACATATAGACATATATGGTATTTTGTTTTCGGTGGATAATCTTGTTTCAACGGATAATATAACATCTTCTACTGATTAATAATACTAAAAATTGGTGCGTACACAATATGAGGCCAGTTTTTAATTTACCTTATAACGATCAAAGATATTATAATTAAGCTGAGCTTTGTATTCCATAGATTCGATTTGCTGCAACACAAAAGAGACAGAGATCACTCAGCCCCATGTGATTCACTCAATTTTCCTTCAAGACTAATTCAATACTTCTCTTTTCTTAACTTTTTTTCGGTTACATATCAATTTGTTTTTGAAAACAAATTAGTAGTTAGAGCATCCACATTAGAGGTTCAGCCCGGGTTCAAGCTCAAAATCCAATGCTATTTGGATTAAAAAAAAAAAAAAATGGGCGATCTGGTATTGTCCGGACGAGCTTGAGGAGCCCGTATCACGGCCACGTGGCGTGTGCTGGTTGGACGAGAAATGGGGAAATTGGTGGGACAATATTTTTTTTCGTCATTTCTCGTTTTCTTCACGAATTTTTTTTTTCTTTCTCGCGAAGGCGATTTTCTGGGCGACTCGACGGAATCATGTCGACGACGACAAATCAACCGTCGAAACTTGTTTCCGATCGTCCATCTTCTCTTCTTATCATCCAGGTTAGAGTTTTTCTCCATAAATCAGTCCGTAAAAATCGAATCGGTATTTTTTAGGGTTTCGAATTGGGGAAATTTTGTTAGGATTTTTTTCTTCGATTAAATTTGGGGAAATCGTTTCGATTGTCTTTTTATGTGTGTGTTTGCTATCGATTCTTCTATGCGAGTTAATTTGCATGACGATTAGAGTTGAAATTAGGGTTTTGTCGAATTTGGGGAAAATTTGTTTAGGGTTTTTTCTTCGGGTAAAATTGGGTTTATTGATTCGCTTGTCTGTGTCTGACTCTTGTTTGCTATCGATTCTTGTTTGCGAGTTTAATATACTAGACGATTTGAGTTCAAATTAGGGTTTTCTCGATTTGGGGGAAAATTTTAGGGTTTTTTAAATCTGGTTCGAATTAGGGATATCTGATCGATTGTTATGTGGTGTATGTGAATTGCGATTGATTGTCTCAGTGAATTGGTTGATTATCTGATTCTATATGATTGTTGATTATCTAATTCTATATGATTGATCGATTATCTGATTCTATATGATTGTTGATTATCTGATTCTAATGAGTAAATGGTTGATGATGGTGAAATGATTGATGATGATTCAATGCACGATTATGATGATGATGAGATGATATATGGTATATGTTTGGCATTTTAATGATCGGTTATATTTGGTATGTGTTTGATTGTTGTTGCTGCCGTTGCTTAGTTTTACTAACTTCGATATCATTTTTGTGTGAGGGTATTTGGTTGATCAACGGCTACATGCTTTTGGGACTTTGAAGTGGTTAAGTGTGTCTCAACGATTACAGGTTAGACTTCAAACTCTCTTTTATTAAATTGTTAAGTTTGTTTGGTTGGTTGAAAGCCGTAGGTTGAGCTGTTTGGTTTAGCTGGTTGGTTTAAAGTCGTAGGTTGCTTTTGTTGACAATTGATAAATGCTTGTTAATATGATATGACATGTTAGGTGTGATAAATGCTTGTTAAAAGACTTAAGACAGATACAAACTATTAAAAACTTGTTAAAAGACACTCAACCATATAATTTTAAAAGACTTAACTACACTCAACCACAAAACTTGTAAAGACTTAAATACACTAAACGCAACTATCTTCTTCCTCTTTCTATAAATCCGTTTAAGTGCCATATTGAAATTCATCATCTATACCATCTTTCTTCTTCATCTGCCATCTTTATTCTTTCATCTTCCCTATTTCTTCTTTTATCTTCCATCTTTCTTCTTTCATCTCCCATATTTCTTCTTTCAGTTTCCGTACTTCTTCAGTTTTCACTTCCATCTTCCTTCTTTCATCTTCATGGAATCTCAAAACGCTTTCTCTCAGTCTGAAGGCTTCGTTAACCTTCTAACTAGCCAGATACCTCTTGACAATTACTCGCCTTGTACTGAACTGGGATCATCAGACTTTCCTGTGTTTAGTACACAGGGTTCTGATGAACCTACGGCTAGTAAAGTCAGAAAGCAATGGACTCCGAAAGAAGACCTGGTTCTCATAAGTGCATGGCTCAATACAAGCAAGGATCCTATTGTGGGGAACGAACAGCGGGCTGGTGCATTCTGGCAGAGGATTGAAGTCTACTATAATGGAAGCGAAGACCTGATTGGACTACCAAGAAGAGGACACTCACAGTGTAAGCAGCGATGGGGTCGTCTCAACGACCAGGTGTGCAAGTTTGTTGGTGCATACGAGGCTGCACAGAAGCAAAGGACAAGCGGCCAAAACGAAAACGACGTCATGAAGGCAGCCCATGAGATATTCTTCAATGACTATCTCATCAAGTTCACCCTCGAGCATGCATGGAGGGAGCTCAGGCATGACCAAAAATGGTGCACCACTTTCAATCCTGCTACCAAGGATGGTGAGAAGGCCAAACGAAGGAAAGTTGAAGACACGGCTAACTCATCCACCTCAGTCGCCGATGATGTCTTCGTTGAGGCTCGGCCACCTGGTGTCAAGGCGTCCAAGGCGAAAGCAAAAAAGACAGCCGGAGGGAAGGAGGTGAAGGACTTCGCAAGTGTGTGGGAAATCAAACAACGAGACTTGGAACTGAAAGACAAGATAACTGACAAAAGACTTCTTGAAAAACTGTTAACTAAGACAGAGCCACTCAATGAGAATGAAATACTTCTTAAAAACAAGATAATTAATGACTTGCTTAAGTGATGTATGAAATTTTTTTTTAAAAGTTGGTAGTTTGGTACTTTATCATTTGCTTAAGTGATGTATGACTTGTTTCAATATATTTAGTGCATGGCCTTGTTTCTCTTTATCATTTGCTCGTCTGAATCACTTGTCAACTTGCTGATGTATCTTTGGTTTTGCAGGGGACTCACGGGAAAGCACTTGGCCACTTGATGGATGCGTCCAAGAACTGGGTCCATGTCGTTTTTGTTGTTTTCTCTGCTACACCATTCATTTTCTAGTGTAATGTACACCTAGTGTTAGTGATGTCTTTGTAAGCCACATATTCATCTTTTCTTTGTTCTATAAATGTAATGTGTGCGATGAACATATATTCAATCTCAGTTGATATCTTTCTTTCTTTTTTACAAACTTTTCTCTATCTCTTTTACAATCGGTATTCCATCTCTTTTACAAACATTTCTCCATCTCCTTTTCAAACGTTTCTTTACCCAAAACAATTGTATGGCATCATCATCAAATAATGGGCCATATGATGATTCAATCGATGATGTTTTTGATGATTCTGATGATGATGCACTTGATCAACAATTTGATCAAATGTTTTATGCTGCACTTGATAGTCTCGCAAGAAAAAAAAACAAAAAAAAGAGAGCATACATTGAAAGAGACCGGGAACAAGGGCATCACCGGCTTTGGAACGACTACTTTAGTGATGATGCAATCTATCCGTCAAATCTATTCCGTCGCCGGTTTAGAATGAACAAGGAGTTGTTCCTTCGTATAGTTGACCGTCTCTCCAATGAGATTCCATATTTTTAGCAAAGAAGAAATGCTGCCGGGAGATTTGGTCTATCTGGCCTTCAGAAGTGTACTGCAGCTATTCGTATGATGGCTTATGGTACGACAGCTGATGCGGTTGACGAATATCTCCGGCTAGGTGCTAGTACGGCTTTATTATGCTTGGAAAATTTCACGGAGGGAATAATAAACTTGTTCGGGGATGAGTACCTCAGAAGACCCACACCACAAGATCTCCAACAACTTCTCGATATTGGAGAGTCACAGGGTTTTCCCGGAATGATAGGAAGCATCGACTGTATGCACTGGGAGTGGAAGAATTGTCCAACCGCATGGAAAGGACAATACACACGTGGTTCCGGCAAACCGACAATCGTCTTAGAGGCAGTAGCTTCATATGACTTGTGGATATGGCATGCTTTTTTTGGACCTCCAGGTACGTTAAATGATATTAACGTTCTTGATCGTTCTCCAGTCTTCGATGATATTTTGCATGGTCGAGCACCAAAAGTGCAATATTAGATCAACGGTCACGAATATAGTTTGCCGTACTACCTGACCGACGGTATATATCCAAAATGGGCTACATTTATACAATCAATTCACCTTCCTCAAGGAGCCAAAAAAAAGTTTTTTGCAACAGCTCAAGAATCTGTCCGAAAAGATGTGAAGCGTGCATTTGGAGTTTTACAAGCTAGATTTGCGATAATTAAAAACCCAGCTCTTTTTTGGGATAAAGAGAAAATTGGGAAAATTATGCGGGCATCTATCATATTACACAATATGATAGTTGAAAATGAACGAGATTTTCGCATTCAATTCAATTTGGAAGAATTCCAACCAGGTGAAGGAAGCAGAAATTCGCATGTCGATATGACGTATACTTCAAATAATCGTTCAAATGTCAGAAATTTGATGATGGCGAAACGAAATGAAGTCCGTAGCAGACACGTGCATGATCAGTTTAAAACGGATTTAATCGAAAATCTATGGAATAAATTTGGTTCTTCTTAAATGTCCAATTATGGTTATAAATTTCATGTATTTTATCTTTTTCATGTTTTTTTTAGTACTTGTAATAAATTGTATGCTTATTTTAAATTATTTCTATGTTTAATTTTTTCAAATTCAATAATAAAAAAATATTATTATATTCGGGATGAACCCCATTATCAGGTTCACTGATGAAACCCGAAAAAAGACACAGGTTCCATAAACAAAAACCCAAAAAAATTAGTATTCTAATCTAATGATACTCACTAAGAGTATCACTAATGCACATGTTCTTATATTGTTGTCAGTATTATTAGTCTCGTACCGATCCCACTAAAACAGTGGGTGGGGGAATGCATTTGGATAAATAAATGATTCACTTTTTTTATAAAACTTTGAAAGATAATTAACTAACAATTTATTGATAATTTGATACTAACACCACTTCCAAGTGTAGCCCCATGTGAGCATGGACGGCTTGCTTTTTCAACAATCAGAAAGCTAAAACAATTATAATTTACTTTTGGAAAGAAAGGTCCTTGGGTTTATTCTTGCTCTACATTAGTTAATTAGTAGTACAATATGGTTGGATTTAGTTTTTTGGAAATTATGTGGAAATTATGTAAACTTGGTTGGAATTAGTTTTTTGGTTTTAGGTGTAGTTTGTCATAGTTTTTCAATTTTGAGACTGTTGACTCCGGAAGTGTCTTGTACTTGCTGGCTTTTGTCTCTAGAAGGGATATGTCCCTTGCTAGCTTGCTGTATGTTAAAACCGTATTCTGTCTGGAAAACTACTTAGTGAGAAAAAGAGAGTTAATTAGTATGTTAGGGGTGTAGTGGTGCAATTACTGTCTGCAGGTGAAATAGTAAGATCAAATAGATTATCATTTTAAATTAATCATACATCAACTAGTCACTTATCATGAACTGGAAATATATTAGTAATCTCAAATAACAGAAATTCATATAACAAACCACGATCATAACTTCTAGCAAAATCAAATAATTAAGATTAACACACACATGCACCGACATATGGAAGATGCATTTCCATAATTTAAAAATTCGTGTTAGAAACATATCTCAGCCTCTAGACTTAAAAAAATATAATTAGTACTTTATTTGCAGATCAATTAAGTTCCGTAGAGAGTATAGTATTTTTGCTTTTAAAATATATGCAGTTTAATTGTAGAACAATTTGAACCATGTTTCTTCAACCCACGCAATAAACCATTTCGCCACTTAACAACTATGACTTGGTTTCATTAGTCCATGTATAGTGTCAACTTTATACTCCCTCTATTTCATAATAAGTGATGTCTTATAACAGATTATTCAGAAAAATAGAATATACAAATTAATATTTGTTAATTGGCGTTGAGATTTGGGTTGAGGACAAAAAGAGGCATCACCTGCTCATGTGTACAGCAGAGATGGCTGTGCTGTACTGACAATAATTTCCACCATATAACTTTCTTCTAGTTTTATTTTATAAGTATTTTGTTAATTATCTTCTACTGTGACGACAAAAATATAAAAAGTTATCTTCTACTATTATATTCGGTAGCTTTACAAAAATGTATATGTTCTTTCTTCTACTATTAGTATGTGATATAATTACATCCTCCATGTTCCCCTAATTTGTTCACCTACCATGAAAACAAAGTCGATTAACTATTATGGATATAATTCGCTAACCTATTATTACTTTCCACGTTCATAACCCATAATTCATAAAAAAAGGTGATCAGTATTAAAAGAAAAAAAAAAACCGTATCTATGTCTCTTATGCTAACTAATCATGTATGGATGAATATACTCCATCGCAATCTAACGTAAAGAGGTCCACGGATAAAGATCAATTTCAAAGAGGAGTAACCTTAATTAATGGCTTAACCCCTACAAAATTTTAATTTATTGAGAGAATTATTTGTTACGGTGCAGATTGGACGATGTTGGACCTTCGCTTACGGTTTGATCTCAAATTCCAAAAAGCAAATGGTTAATTTATTGTCCGAGACCTGATCACGTTTCTTAACTATCATTTTTTTTTTAAGTAACTAAGAAATTTTGGTTTGATCCATTATATGTTTAATTCCAAAATAACAAATTTCGGATTCTTGACCTACTCTTTAAACCCGTGAGCTTTTTTATACTATATGTAACGGATTCACCAAACATTAACAAAATATCTTAAACCAGTTGAATTAATCCCCTTCACAGTAAAATATGTTAAGTATATTTAATATATTATTCCCTATTTTTATTTTTAAAACAACAAAGTTAAAATGTGTTTTTAAAAAATAACAAAAAGGGACGGGTAGAAAATTGGGATAAAACATGACAATTAGCAAATATTTCATATGTAATGTCCCCTATAGTTCTCTCTTTTACTAAACTGAAATTAACGGTGAAACCGGTTGCGCCGAAAAAGAGGATTATCGGTCAAAGCCTTGGCGAGACCATTAAACTTTATTTAATGGCCCATGATTACGCAAATGTAAGTCTTTTAACTTTATTTAATCTGATTTTAATAAGTAATAAAAATTTTAAAAAGTCCAGAAGATGGACTAAACTCTCACTGCTTAAGGATAGTCAAATCTCTTAGACACATCGACTTTAGTGCATCTATATTTATTATAAGTTTTTTTTTATTAAAAAAGAAATATGAATGATTCAACGGTAGCAATGCTTTATAATAAAATAAATACTGTACAACATAGCGTAGCGTAAAAATGAACAGTTGACATTTTAATCTAGTTTTCTTAGAGAAAAAAAAACACTTAAATAAAGGGAAAATCTGGGAATAGTATAAATACAGGCATAAGCTTTCCATAATCTTCACAACTAAATATAATTACAAAACAGAGTCGTCTTTGACTTACCAAAAACAGAGCGTTTTTGCCTAATACACACCTCTCTCTCTTCGCGGATCTGAAATGGCGATACCTGTGATCGATTTCTCCAAGATCAATGGTGAAGAAAGAGAGAAGACACTGTCTGAAATCGCTAGAGCTTGCGAAGAATGGGGATTTTTTCAGGTTCGGATCTAAAAAAAAAAACAGAACTTTCTCTCTCTCTGTTTTGATGGGCTTAACTCTGTGTATGTTTGCGTGTAGCTGGTGAACCATGGGATTCCACTGGAGCTTCTGAATAAGGTAAAGAAGCTAAGCTCAGATTGCTACAAAACAGAGAGAGAAGAAGCATTCAAGACCTCAACTCCCGTGAAGTTGCTCAACGAAGTGCTTGAGAAAAACTCTGGCGAGAAACTTGAAAACGTTGACTGGGAAGATGTCTTCACTCTCTTTGACCATAACCAAAACGAATGGCCATCCAAACCCTCTGGACTCAAGTAAACAACTTCTCTCTCATATTTCAACCTCAAATCATTCACTTTCGATTCTAACTTTATGTTTTCTATATTTGAAAAAAACCAAAAAAAAAAAAAAACAGAGAGGCGATGGGAGAATACAGAGAAGAAGTGAGGAAGCTAGCGAGCAAGATGATGGAAGTGATGGATGAGAATTTGGGATTGACTAAAGGTTACATAAAGAAAGCATTTAACCAAGGAATGGAAGATGGAGAAGAGACAGCTTTCTTCGGAACCAAAGTCAGCCATTACCCACCTTGTCCTCATCCAGAGCTTGTTAATGGCCTTCGAGCTCATACTGATGCAGGAGGTGTCGTTTTGCTGTTCCAAGACGATGAATATGATGGCCTTCAAGTGTTGAAAGATGGAGAATGGATCGATGTTCAGCCGCTTCCTAACGCCATTGTTATCAACACTGGTGATCAGATTGAAGTTCTTAGCAACGGAAGGTAACATCTTTTCTTGAATCCAAGTTTTTTGTTAATTAAGAAAAAAAACTAAATTAAGACTCAAATGGGTTTGGCAGGTACAAGAGCGCATGGCACAGGGTGTTGGCGAGGGAGGAGGGAAACCGGAGGTCCATAGCTTCCTTCTACAATCCGTCGTACAAGGCGGCCATTGGGCCAGCATCGGCAGCGGAGGAAGGAAGTGAGAAGAAGTATCCAAAGTTTGTGTTTGGAGACTATATGGATGTCTATGCAAACCAGAAGTTCATGCCTAAGGAGCCTCGTTTTCTAGCTGTAAAGTCTCTTTAAATTGTGTCATTGTTTTTCTAAACTATTATATCACTATTTTATTTACACCATGATGTAATTTCTCTTAAGTTATAAATGCCTTATTAAATAATTTGATAATTTGGCATCTGGTCTTCTGGCATTGTGTTTTCTTCTTCTTTATATTCGTGTTCATATCATGTATGAATCTTCGTTGTGACTTGTGTTCTTAGTTTTTGATTTATTTATATCAAACAGACTTTAAACTTTAATAAGGACGATTTGTACTCTGTATCTAGAGACAAGAGTCTTTCAACTTTTGTGGTCAGCCTCACGAACCAGACTACAAATAGAGATTATATATGACTAAACCTCCAAGGACTCGTATTTAACCACACATTTCTACAGAGAGATTAACAAATATAACAAGAGTATGAGAAAGCTAGGCACAGATGTTTCCATTCCAATAAGGACTCTATCTTTGATTAATAATTCTCTCTGTTTCATCAGGCTTTCATAGTTGAGAAACGAAAATCTGATTTAATCAGGATACTGTACAACACAATAACGAAATCAAACTATTTGTATGAACCCAATTTCAAATTCCAATTTCTCTCAGACATGGATGGAAACAATTCAGACTCCGGGATTTGAGAGTCTCTCGGATACATCTCTTTATGTTAAGCTGCTTCGTGTTCTAACTCTGTCTATAAGCATCTGCCTTCCTGAAAGATCTTCCTCGTAACCAACAACCTGCAAATCAGAGTAACCCGTTTCAAATCAAGAACTAGGATAAGAGTTATAACCTGCGATTTCGTTTTTAATTCAGAACTAGGATTTCGAAACCTGACTAATTATCCAGACCTGAAAGCTTTAATTATCAAAACTCTCCGAGGTATTTCCAGAGTAAGATTATAACCTGCGATTCTGTCTGTGTCTCACTAAAGTTTCCGTAAGTGCCTGTAATTACATCTCCTGGAGGATTGCATGCGCCGTCATTCTCCAGGACCCTGAAAAACACATCAGAGTATTAATAGGTAAACAATGATTTCTTACATGAGCAGCGTTTAGATTTGTGACAGTCTAGTCTCAGATCATTGCACACCATTACTTTGCTTACACTCCCTCCATACAAGATAGGTACCTTCGTACAGTCATGCTACGGTATTATACGGAAATTAGGGATCCAAACAAAACGAAAAAGATTTAGGGGGTTCATGAATCCGGATATGTCAATTTAAACACCAGGCAAACTTATGTCGCTAATTCTTTATAATTCATGGCATTTGAGGTTGGTACCAGATATGTATCAACAATTAATGAATATAAGGCTACCTGTTTATCCAGTGTCTAGACAGGCCAGTGACGGAACGATCCCCGCTGTTGTATTGTTCACTAGTTGAAGTGAGCTGTTTTGTCATCAAGGAGTCAAAATTATTCCAAGTATTAATAACTCGGGGGAAAAAAATTGAACGACCACACAAGCTATAAAAACACAGTTTTTTCTGAAATCCTCCCAGGAGAGTTCTCTCCTGCTCTTGAATCTAAACAGAAAACCAGAGGTGAATACTGAGAAAATCTGACTTGGATTAAATGATTGGAGAAAGGAGCCAATCGTACTCACTTTACTTGTCTGCTCCAACAGATCCTCAATAGCATCAGCCACATCTGGAACTTCACGACCACTTGCTACGTCATTTCCAGACACAATGCCATCTCCAGACTTCAAAGTGCGAGCACAACTGCTTGGATGTTCTCCCACAGGAAACACATTACTTTCCTGACCATCTCTCAAAAGTTTTGCCTTCTTAGGCGGAAAACTCTCTTCCCTTCCAGTTTCTCCAAGTCTGTTGTTTACCTCACTTTTACCGCAGCCGTTTTTGCCACCAAAACTTTGAGCTATTTCCCTGTCTTCAGAGTGGCTTACAAGCAGAGACTCATTGTCACATGAGGCCATACTGGAGGCCATTGGCACAAACTGTGTATGAAGTTGACTGGTCAAGCCAAACCCAGCATCTCGGTCTTGAGTGGTCAATTCCTTTGGACGAAAGTTATCCGGACAAACAACTCGATTCTACACATGAGAAAAACAAAAAGAACTACTTGTTAAATTTGAAGATCCCATGTAAAAGAAACTATGTGAAAAGACATAGGCCCACCTGTCTAACACATTCATAAACCCATTCAGATGTCACGCAAACTGTTCCCCACTTGGAAGTGGCCTCATACTTCTGTCCGCCAGCAAATTTGCATAGCAAGTGAGTCGTTCTCCTGGTAAGTTTTTCCCCAAATTTTGCTCCAAGAACAAAACACAAATTTCTCAGGAGTAATTTCTCCTTCTCTTCATAACGGGAAACACAAAAGCGAAGGCTTTCGAATCCAGGCAAAGGAATCTGGCAGGGAAGAGGCGAATAGAGGATATGACTGCTAACGTCAAGTAAACAACCATCCTACATCACCAAGATAACACCTTAAAAATAAGCCAGAAACATAAAGCATAATAAGGATAAAGATAAAATATACAAATCAACAAAATGAAAAGCTAATGTAGATATAAAAACTTTAAATGAATGATGGTATAGCAGTTGGAGGCAGGTACTCCAGGATTTAGCCAGTAGATAACAGATGAACACTGAGAAAAATAATACCTCTAAACAAGATCGAACCCAGTGACTCGAGACATAAATAGTTTGGGTATTCCCAGCACTCCGGAACGCACCATGGCATTCAATAGTAAAATGTGTATTATGCATAAAAGGATCATATACAACATCTCCTCCTCCTTGATTCACCCATTCCACGATTTCAGGTCGCTGCACAATATGGTAGCACATCAATCAATTGACTTCAGAGATGCATTATCAGACAAGAAACCAGTGCAAGACAAGGAAAGCCTAATCTTCGAATTACCACATACCCTATCTTCAGAAAAAGAATCTGAGAAACAAAATGTCTTCCCCTTAAATACCGATGACTTTCTTTCTTGCTTATTCTGAACATTGATTTCACATTGAATTTTCTGTTGTTCTTTGGTTTTATTAGTTACAAGGGAATTAAGTGTTTCTTTTTTCTCGAGTGATACTATTTTTCTTTCCACGTGAATCTCATCTTTCCTGCCAAATTCCAGCATTGCTTCTTTATTCTGTCCCAGCAAAGTTGCTGCCTCATTTGAGACATTGACACTCCTTGAAGAGGAATCATATGCCATGGTCTGAGGAAAAGTATTTTTACCCTGTTCCATACCTGACATCCCTGCCAGGGTTCCCTTGGTCAAGCATGCAGAATCTGTGCCAAAAACAGGTCACTTAGAGAAGTCTAACACAGTGCATTGATATGTCTTGATGCATCTTGGATAGATGGAATGCGCCCCAGATAATAAAAAGTTGGTGAAATGAGATAACAGCAGACCTCTTGGAAGAATCAGGTTGTGAGCAGTATATAATTTATGAATGGGAATTTCTTTTTTCTCACGATCACAATCTTCAAGCCAACTGGGTGTAACTACTTGAATGACACCAGAAGCTGCAACACTCCTCGCCTCTTTTTTCTCACTGTAAATAATATTCTATGTTGAGATCATAATGTCACAGACAATATGCTTAGAGAGACCCACCTAACATTCAGCCAGCACTACAAGAAAAAGGAAAAAAACTAATAGCGCAAAAAAAAATCACTTTGGCAGTGAAAAGATTGAGATTACCTCTCTGAAGGAGTTCCAACAACAATATGTGTCATTCTTTCGCTAAGCATCATATACCGTGATCCACCACCTCTGCGGACCAACTTAACAAGTCTACGCATTTCAGAAGCTTCAAAACCAAGCAAGAAAATTCTACAATCTGATAAGTACAAGTCATTGTCTTCAGATTCTGAATCCCTGGCAGTACAGCCATCAAAATTTTGTTCTTGAGGCTCTGTACTTGGGCCTTTAATTGGTTCTTTAACATCGGTACTGGGATTCATAGATGTGGAAAAAAGTTTTTGTGAGGCAGAAGCTTCTATATCTGAGTCTCTAGACTGAGGATAAGAAGCATATGAGTCTGCTGCAGCCACAGCCGAAGGCGACAGTGATATTGGACATCCAGGAAACTTTTCTTGGCCATCATGGCTCACCAAATTTCTCACCCCTCTACTCAAAGGCATGGAACCCAGAACAGGATATGACTCTTCATTGAGACAAACTGCGCATAAAAGGATGACATATCAGTATCGAATGAATCTGTTAACTTTTAGAGAATATATATACTGATCAGTACGAGAATGCAAAGGATGCAGAAGCACCAAACGTCACCTTTTCTAGCAATGGACTGCTGAAACCATTTCCGTGTAACAATTTGAATGTGACCCCATTTTCGAGCAACTTTGTACTTGTCACCTTCGGCAGCGTATGCAATGTCAAGGACTCAAATTTCTTTAAAGTCGACTATGAAATCTTAAAATTTTTTGCACAATAATTTAAGGAATATTTAGGGCATCTACATTTCAACAATGTAATGGTTAAAGTCACATATCTTCTAACTTTAGAAAAGCCGAGTATCAGACCTTGATGCTAGTTTATAGCACAATTAGATACACCTAGAAAATCAACATATGTCCATTTTTCAGATTTTGATTCAAAGGATATATCAGCGATCAGATGTGTACACCTCCTTGTTAGCTCCCCAGAGTACCTCCCTCCATATTCTAAAATTAGCTTCTCCATTCCCTTACGCTCGTCTAATAATAAGTTACTGATTAACTATCAACAAAGAACCTGATTCGCACATGTTGAGCACAACGGGTTTCTAACCTGCTGGAATTTTTGTGACACAGATTGTCAGTCCATAAAAAGGAGGAATCTTGTAGGGTTCCTGGGGGACCACACGGTGCTCATCCCAACACTTAAGTAACCAACTCAGTGCAACAACGGGCTTCTTCTGAATATACGACTGCAAGCATAAAATAATAATATTATTTAGCTGTCACAATGAAATAGGCATAACTGGTTTTGAACAGCTTCCTCAAGAACCTCATCAGTTCACTCTGCTTCCGGATATCATATATAATGATAAGTCATCAGAGGCACAATACTGATCCAAATAATTTCTGAAAAAATAGTGCGAGTTGTTTCACTTTGAGAACTAAAGTTTTATTGGAGCTGAGTGTCATTTACATCATGCTACCATCTGAAAATGAATAGAGCAGAACCCACCAGAAGGATCCAACATCCTAAAATTTCATTGGAGCTAAGTGTTATTTACAGGAGTATGTTAAATCTTTTCTTCTTCTTGAAAGGCTTCTTTTCTTCTATTAAAGGCAGTATATGCTGCTGGAAAAATGTATATGCACCAAGCGAAAGATCAACAGCCAGTTCTATCTTACTTTAATATAGCAGCATCGACAAAGAAAAAGTTCACCTTTGTTTCTAACAAAATAACCTAGTGCTTATTAGAGTGAAGTTAAATGAACTGAAAAATACGTATAGTTTACCTAACATAACTCGAGAATAATCTTCTGAGATGCATGAAGAGAAACAGCAGTATTGATATGTTAATTAAGCGTAGATAAGAAGCCAATGATAATCTACAGATGTGCACCCTTAGAAGGTAAAGAACATTGATTGCAATGTTTGAGCAAAAGACCTTGTACTTGCCAGCCAAGACATTCTTCACAATGACGAAGTTGACATCTGGAGAAGCTTTGGAAAGAAAAACTCCCCCCATGGAAGTAACCAACTCCTCGATCTTGACCTACAAAATAATTGCAATCAACCAGTTAAGAGGGATGAGTCGTTCAGAGTAACTGAAAAAAATTGCTCTAAACAGATATCATTTTTGTCATCTCTAGGCTTCTTACAGTGTGAAAAGACATTTCTACAATGTATAAAGAGAAGTCAGTCTTTTTGTTAAAAATAGAAACTAAACCACAGAATTACCAAAAAATAAGATATCCAAGCCAACATAGAGTCACAACAACTCACATCGACAGTACCAAGAAAAAAAGGGGGTAATGATGGATTCTAATACACTATAAACGATGTCTATTACCCTGAAAAAGAGAAGTACCTTTTCATCCATCAGAAAACCAGAAGCGAGAACTTTAAGACCATCCATCGCTAGGCAACAATTGAATCCTCCTTGAGGTAGCGGTCTACCCTCTTTTGCACAGGAGAGCACACATTGTGGACCTAAACATTAACTCTTGGCTTGGGTAAGGAAATTCAACAAGAAAGATTCAATTGGTTTAATTTGATGAATTCAGAGAGGTATCTCACCAATCAAGTTGCAACCCTTAGCTTTAAGATCCTTGAACTTCTCCTGGAGATGGAATAGTAGTACGAGGAGACTAAGAGCAGTTTCTTACAGGAAATAAATGCAATTGAACTTCGTAAAAACAAAAAATTAAACAAAATGAAAGCAAACCCGCACGTGATCGGGAGAAGCGATGACGTGAAAATCGCAGGGGCCGCTACGGGAGGGATCGCAGCAGAGGAAGATTTCGGCACCGTTAAGCTTCAATGCATCGAGAAGTGTGTCGAAGACTTCAGGGGGCACCAGATTTCGAGACATGAACACGTTTGCCCCTTTGAACAGTTGCGTCGTCTTCATCGCCGCCGGAAACCTAAACACGCACTTCTCCTCTCCAAGAGCTTCACGGAGGAGGAGCGTTTTCGGAGAGAAATTATAACCCTAGAATCGGCGGAAGAAGGTGAATAGCCGAATCATTAGCACAGAATCGTCTACCCGTGGATTCGAGGTGAACAGGCGCGGTAACTGGTGAGAGAGAGAGAGGGAGAGAAAGGGAGAGAGAGAGAGAGAGAGAGAGAGACGCGGGAATGGTCACTGGTAAGTGAGCTTAGTTTCACATTTTAATTTTTCTTAGGGCTTTTTGATGCCCATTATTACCCCCAACTTGGGCCGACCACAAATTTAGAAGTTCCCGATTTTGTCCTTAAATAATCTTCATTATCTCTATAGTTTCAAGTATTTTTACGTTTTATAAAATTTGCCAGGAGATTTCTTTAATTCTACCTGATAATCAACTGCAAAGAAAAACCGAGCTTCTCTTTTAAATCTTTATTTTGTACAATGAAAAGAGGACTTCGTCGTCTAATTAAGGAAAATATACTAAGAGAAAACATAACTAGACGCAAAATTAGAAGCGACAGTAAAGCTACAAAGGACAAAGGCAAGGCAAGAGGCCAGACACTGACTAGAAAAACCTTAACTAAAACCAAGCCGGGGGGTACTTAACTTGGCAGGTTCAGGTCCGGCGGTGCATGTGGATGGGTTTGCTGCCTCAGAGCCAGGACAAGTTGTTTCTCCGGGGGCTGGTGTTCTACACCCTGTTCTGTCTTTTTTCTGACTGTCTTTGCTTCTCCTGAAGGGTTGCTAGAGCTTGAGTTTCCCTTTAGTTTCCCATGTTGCTGCTTTGACTTGTCACGGGAAGAGTCCGCTATAGCTTGACTGTGGACTACGGACGTGGTGGTTGCGCTTGGCACAGTACCCGTTTTATCTACTACAGCTGGAGCCTTGTCGGGATGAGTAGTACTCTCTGATTTTGTTGCCAACTGTGTCTGTTTCCTCTTTGTCATCTTCGCTTGATCCTTAAATAAGAGAAGAGGTGAGGAATGCCAAAAACTGAGAGGGATGTGCGAGAGCATGGGAACAGTCTATGAAAAATGGATCTTTTCACATCCAAGAGATAGCAAATTAGAAACAAATACAGTGCTATGATGTAAAAGCAGATTATTTCTCAATTACCATCTCCTTCCCAAGGTTTCCATACAATGCTCTCCGCCTTTCCTTTGCCCGGCAAATGGCACGCTTGATCTCATGATTGTCCATTAACTTATTTGGCCAGAGTTCCGCTAGCTGGAGCATGAATAAATACAATAGAAAATCATTTAGAATGATTTGATAAACAATTATCGAAGTTTAGGCAAGGTCTAGTCTACTGATATTAAATGAACTTGGAAAGCAAATACACCACGAGTGCCAGGAACTTACGCTTGCATAGAGCTTTCTGATCTGTGGACCTGCATCTTCATCCAATCCCTAGTATTACCAAAAAACAGAGCACAAACTTATGTTCACACTTCAATTCTGGATCTAATTAAGTTGGAAAACATTTGTTATGTAAGGTTGCCGAAATGAAAAATCTTAATTACATCAACAAAGATGTCATATAGATCACACAATTTGTCCTCCAGCGCCGCATCCATGACAAACTTCTTCTTCATAGGTGGCTTTTCAACAGATCCGACATCCTGAAAATCATCTGATGTTCCAGCTTCTTGATTCGTTGCCTGTGAAACAATTTATGTCAGTGCATGGAATATCTCATGATATCAGATGTGCCTCAATGCTTCAATAAAAGTGATAAACGATACAAAGAACAGAGAGAACCTATAACAGAGAACCTAAAACAGAAGAATCAAGTGCTTAGTCTATGGCCAGCCATTATCAGAGAGAACTCTGAGTATTGTGATTCATTTGACAACAGGATGTCTAAATCCAACAATAAAGACAAGAACAAAAGTATCTATTCAAAACAGCGGATAAGAAATCCATCTGAAAATCATATCAGTGAAACTAGTTGAGTACAAGAGAGAACCTGAGATTCCATCAATGGAACTTTTATTTTTATCATCTCAATAACTTCGTTCTTGATCCGTTGAAATCTAGTATCTTTTTCTCGATTTGCAGTGTCCCCGGAATCAATCATGATTTTCAAGTTCCTCTGTAACAATAAGCATTACTATACTGTCAGAACTTACCTCCTTCAATAAAGCATATCTTGTTAACACTTTCAGAAATCAAAGAGCTTTCACCTCGAACTCAAGAAAATTCTAACTACTCTTATGCCTCAGTAAGAATCACAACTCCATTCCAATAGCAAGTATCGGTATACAGAGGTAGAGGTGATTACCTTCAACGATCTAACCTGTATGAGATGACCGACAATGCTCATGAGACGATTTATTAACTCTCCCGATACAGTACCTTGGCTTGCCTGCTTTAAGAAAAGAAACAAAAAATCTAGTCTTTTTAATGCATCTGGAAGATTGTTTTAAAAAAAAGGAAAAACAGAAGTGTTTGATTACCGCAATCCTAGCAACTTTAGCAAGCTTCAATTTTACGTCTCTTGGCAATCTCCTCTTCACTGCTTGGGATGCGGTATCGGCATCTTGATTCTCAGTGGCAGCAGGAGGCCTTGCTGCAATAATTGGACATAGTTTGTAAAATGGTATTAGCTTGCCATGCACGTAGAGAACAAGTGGTCGAACAGTTGAAACTCACATTCAGCGACCACTTTCTCCAATTCCCTGATGGCTTTGTCAAGTGTCGAGGTTTTAGGCCTGGCATTAGAACCGCCTTTTTTCTGAATAGAAAAAGATTGTCACAGAATTTAAATCATATAACAATCTAAAATATGCGAAGAGAATAAAAAGAAGCATGAAAGCGAGAATTAGCCAGGAAGATCAACCCAGAGTCGATATAAAAACTACAGATACAGAACTACAAAAACAATGTTGAATGGGTGCTACCTACACAGCAATGACACAGAGAGACCATACAATATTTTAACTATCCTGAATAAGTGCTAATATTTTCGCAATTACAGATCATTTTTCCAGTCTCAGAAATTAGAGAACCCACTCGTGGAGTTATAGAAAATGAAAGACCCCAAATACATGCTTCCTTCAAATTTTCTAGACCAACTGATTTGAGGACTCTTATATACTTAAGGTAGCTGGAAAGTACTTACAGTTGTTTGAATAGATTGTCTGCTTACTGTTGCATTGTCCAGGTCATGCATGCCATTGTTTTCTTTCTGACGGACTACTGTTGATTTTGCCAAAACATTCGGCCGAGACTTTCCTGGCAGGGAATTAGATTGCTGATGAGCACTTTTGTTGCTGCACTTCAGATGAAGGGCGCCAGAAGATCCAACTGCCTTTGCCTTCGGACTTGAGGCATTCCTTGGCTGATGATTCACTTTATCAGAATGCTTCACATTTTCCAATAATAAGCAGTCATTGCCACTTTGCGCTTTCAAAGGGGAAATCGAATCCTGCACTGTCTTTGAATCATTAAACTTGTTCTTCGAAGAGGGCCCAGAAGCAGCTGATTGATCCTGAACTTTCACATTCATATAATCAATTGTCTAAACTGGAACTCTGAAATATTCAAAAATTTATTTGTACGCAATGGTGGTACCTTTCCCCCAGCCGTCTTAGCCATCTTGGCTTGTTTTCTGGATACATCAACAACATCGCCGCAAGGTTTTGCTGACTCTTTCCTTTGCCTTTTCTTTGGTTGCTGGTTCGTTGTTGTTGTTGTTGACGGTTCACTGAAGTAGAAAGGAATCACAATTTAGATAAACTGGTAAATGGAAGATAGCCTATTCATAGGGCAACTGGGCAACCTGAATCCTATCAAGAATCAGAGCTCACATCAATACGAATTGGTATTTGTTAGGTAAGTCAAAGTAATCATTGCATTTTGAAAATTATCTATAGATTGTAGCAGCAAAGTAGCAAGATTGGCAACAAAAAGTGAATCAAATATTTCTTCCCTGAGGAAACACTGCATAAACCCCAATAAGAGGGGAAGAAACAGGTATCAAAGTCTGTTTTCAAATTCTTATGTTGTCCATTGTCGATTTTCCAGAAGTCCATATCATTAAATGGAAAATGACAAACCCGCCACATAGTAATGTGAAAACATGCAACAATAAGAGGACAAGAAACTTACATCCGTTCTAACTTTCCTCTATTGACAAAAAAACCATCATGTTTAATTGCCGAATTATCAACTTCAAAATACTCATCCTACAACGCAAAACAATAAAAAGGATGTCTCAGCTATCATGATACAGTTTGACCACATAAGAAAACAAAGATAAACCATAAGAAGGATATATATACTAACCAATTCAACGTCATCGATAAAAGAATCTTCAGTGTCATACTCGTCATCGTCGGGAGCACCATCTAACTCTTCCCCATCACTGCTATCTCTCCCCTGAAATTTATGTTATGAAGTAAGTATACAGTAATCAAAAATTTGTGAGAGAAGCAGTGCTAATACATGGTATGAAATAAAGTTCTGACTGATAAGTCAAGCATTCATCTGACTTGATGAATAGTCAATTGAAAAATAGGGAAATGTACCATGTAGAGCCTCTCGATCTTCTCTATAACAGCGTTAAAACGATTAGAATGAGGTTGGTCAACGTTTTCACCTTCTGCTGGTGGTCCCTGCATTGGATATATCAATAAAGCATTACAAATTGATCTGATCCGAATCGTATGCATAGAGAAAAAACTTGCAAGAAAGCCACACACATCTCCTATTTCCTTCGAATGAAAACCATCACTATTATGCACTTAAAATTTGCCCATTCTTTTGCACGAGATGCTGTGAGTTGGATTTGATGCATATCATAATCTACACTCATACGTTTACAGTAGATATGGTTACTATCCGAACCAAAGTTCTTTCTAGATCAAACAAAATCGATGGCATATTAACGTTCTTAGTAACGAGGTTGCAACCAAATCCCATATCAAACTGCAAGTCAAATTACTGACTGAGGCAAGACAATCAAATCACTATCAGTTGTAGTTTTCATTAGTTTCAAGAGTTTGCCCTTTGAAACCCTAGTAGCCAGCCCAATGTCAAGGAGCAATGACAACACAATTCCTCCTAACCCTCATATCCACTTCACCAAAACTTCTAGAAATCCCCCGGAACCAATATTAAAAAAAAAAATTTAGATAATCAGACAAAACAGTGAGGCTCTCCCTGAATAAACCAGAAAGTCGCGAAAGCAAATTCAGCTCCCAGGAGGATACAAGACAAGGGTTGGTCCAATAGAGACAACGAAATTAAGAGCGCAGAGAAATGCAGGTGAGCATATATCAAAGTATATGTATGTCACAGCTAAACACTCACCGGTGCAAGGCGAGACTCGAGATTAGGGTTAGCATTAGGAGGCGGGTCGGGCGCGGAGGAGAACGAGGCATTGCCCTTGCTAGCCTCCTTCATAAGCTTCTTCCAGGAAACATACGTCGTCTCCCCTTGCCGGAGTTCCACCTTAAGTAATTTCCGATCACCGGCAGTCAAGAGCTTCGGCGATATCCTCGACGATTCGCCGGGAGTTGAAACGCCATCGGTTGTGGCCTTTGGTTCTCCCATTAGTGATTGGGTCGGGTCAGAGTTAAGACTCTGTACAGACCCAGATCGGAGACAAGGCGAGTTGGAGAACAATCAGGAGCGAAAATTGGGGAAATTTGATGTGGAGACTCGAGAGATTGGAACTGATAGGAGGATTTTTGTTGGAAACGTTGCGCGGGATAGCCAGCAATGATGCTTTGCTTTATTTTCCTCGATTTTTTTTTTATTTTTTTATTTTTTATCTCTCCTTGTGAATTTATTTTTCATTATTTTCTGTTCTTGAAAATTGAGTTTTTTATTTTAAAGTTTTTTGTGTTGCCGAGGACAATGTAGTAAAATGGCTCTGCATTGCGAAACTAGCGAGTTTCTCTCTCTCGTGCACTGATGGGCTTCGACCCCTCCTTCATCTAAATGGGATAAGTAACATACAGCTGTGGACCATAGGCCTTGACAACAAAAATAGAAAAATTTATGTACATATATTCTGATTAAATTTACAAACAACATTTAATTCAAATAAAAAAAGATAAGTGTAATAAAATTAACTAGAAAGGTTTTCTATGTTTGAAAATCCTAAGAAGTCACTTTCCATGAAACAAATAAAAAGTGAAAAAAATCATTAAAAGGGAAAATCTGAACAATTGCCTATATTCACCAAAAATCATTCTAAAAGCTTAATTATTATAGATCTCAACTAAATTCAAAATATTTTTATTTTCAATTCAAATGATTTGCAATGTATCACACTTCTAGTGATTTATCAGATACAGCTATTCATTTTCTTTGCTTGAAAGTGATTAGTAGTATCGTAAGAGCTTTTTGCTGTTATAATGTGATTGAGAAGATGTGGTGTGAATTGTGAAACATCTGTTTTGTCAGGGTGCTGTTTACTTATTGAGATAACCTCTTAAACCAAAGTTAAGATTTCAGTCGGTTTTCTTAAGATTTCAGTCGGTTTTCTTATGCACGCTTCCGCTTCGATGTTTGAATCCGATTTACATCCACAGCTAGACATAACGCTGGTTTGGTGCTAATAAGTTATATAGCGATTGCGCACAAACTACGGTGAGCTAGGTCGTGCAGTGAGTGGTTTTGGATGTTTCCAAAGTATATATTGACTATATCCAATGCATTTATCTTAAAAGCACCATCTTTTATTTTTGAGGAAAAAATTAGCACCATCTTTGTTATACGTTAGCTTGTGTACATTTCTGATATGTGAACATTCTACTATAGGAACCACAACAGATGATATATGTGATACCAAGTCAAAGTCAATCACCAAAGTCCATAGCCAACGTTCTGGTAGAGCCCAGTGTAATGTACAGAGACATGAACACAAACAAGTCTACAACAGTGAGAACAGTGAACACAAGACTCTGGTTCGGCTAAAAGCTGATTGGCTCATCGCATCTGTTTGCATCTTCAGCTATGAGAATACAAATCAACCGACCATTTTTGGCTGATTTGGGACTGTGAACTCCAACTGCTTCCTTCTCTCTTCGTGGAGGAAAAAGTCTACTTATCTCCCTTCTCCAGTTTATATAATATTTTATAAGAAATAGACTTGTATATAAAGATTCCGAGTTATGATTGCGAATAGGTGGGGCTTGGTAGACTGAAGATATTTGAGACTCTATGTAATAACGATTCACCATTTATCTAACTCTGATTATAGAAACGACTAAACGATATCAATCAGATATGCTAATTAAGAAAAAACATATGAAATGAAAATGATCTTACAATTTTGGGTCTTTATGGACCACCTCTGGGACCATGTCGAACACGGACACTCCCATAGATCTGAAATCTTTAAAGAAAAGATTGCCAAGGGATTTTTGAAAAAGCCGGTGAGAATTTCTCAATGGAAAGTTATTAACTTTTTTTTTTTCGTTACTGATGTTTTTGGTAATGATAAAACAAAAACCTAGGACTTTACCCAAAAAATAAGAATTTTACATATTTCTATTCCTTTGTCAACAAAATTTTCTTCCTTTTTTTTTTGTTGGGTCGTCGTCAAAAATTCATCTGAATCATTGATTGAGATTAAAATATAATCACCACAAAAAACAAGACAAAGCCCCCCCAATAACGACGCAAAGACCTGAGTCCAAAGCAAATTAACAACAATCAAAAAATAATAATTCGGAATCGCAGCATCGTTTGGGGATTACATAAAAAAAAAAAAAAAAAAGAGAGAAAAGGAAAAAAAGAAAAGAAAAGAAATCGGTATCTGACCGCCTCGCGTCGTCTCTTCCCTACTTCCGATTCCTTCATCTCTCTCTGCCATCGCAATCGTCTCCGCCTCTATCTCTCTAGGGTTTCCTCAGTTTTCTCGTTTTACCAGCTTGTGTTCGTTGGCATTCGCTTAATCGCTTCTGATTCATGAGGTTAGGGTTTCGTTTTTCCTTTTTTTTTTCAGGGTGTCGAATTTCTTTTATTTATTATCCTTGTGGCGTTTTTGATTAAGGGTAGAAATCAGGGTTTGGTTGTTGTTGTCATCAATGTTGATGATTGAGGCATCTATTGTATTGGGTTAAGCCTTTGGTTGACCTTCTCAACTTTTGATTTTTTTCTTCCCTGGAAGGTCTTCTCTAATCGATTTATGGATCAGCCTTCTTTGATGCATTTCTCATAAAACCTTGTTTTCTGATAATGCAATTTTTATTTTTGCTCGGAAGCAGGTAGCATTACGATGGATTGCAAGGAAAACGGTGTTAGTGGCCCTTCTGGGTGTGGCTCCTCTTCCGGCGATAAGAATGTTAACTCTCCGGGCTCAAGTCTTGCCATGGATTTCGATAAAAACTTCTCTGAGAAAGCGAATTCTGCTGGCCATGATATAAATTTAATCAGTAGTTTGGCGACTCCCCAGGCTGCATTAGTTTTAGACCCTACGATCGAGGGCCAGAGGGAGTGCTTTATAGAGGCTGAGCAAATGGGAGACGGAAACAGTATCAGTAAAGAAGATGCTGAAAAATCTGATGCCGGTTTACCTGTTTCTTGCATTGATAATGGCTGTCAGAAGCAGGGAATGGTTTCAGATGAATTTGAGCAAACTCAAGGATCAGTTCCTGATGCTGTTTTACTAGTAAATTGCAACAAGCAGGATGCTGGGAAAGAGAGCCAGGACACAGAATTATCCAGCGTACTTATTGTTTCTGGGAGCATGCAAGAGAAAGGAGTTCCTTTGACTAAAGAAGATGAAGGGTCTGCTGGCACAATATTATTGCCTATAGGGGTCAGTGAAACAGATACTGAATCGACTTTTGTAAATTATGCACCTGAACAGTTTGAGTCTTTGGAAACGGCAAAGAACATAAACAATGATGAAGTTGGAAGTGCTGGTATTAACCCCACCTTTGATTGTGGAGGTAAGGAAGGAAGAAAAGAACCATCGAGTGATCAAGATGCTGGTTCTTCTGATGATATATCTTTCATTCAGAGTTGTCCGATTCCAGATTCTGTATTGGATTCTGGAATTCTTAGCTGCAGCGCCACAGAGAATTATATGAAGTCTCCAAGCGAAATTGAAGGCAATATGCCCCTCGTGTTATCCCCTTCATTAGATTTCACAGAAATGTTAAGCAATAATGACGGTGGCCTAGGTTCATATGATCTTGACGACATCACAGACACAGAGACGATCAATCCAGATTTGAAGTTGGTACATGAGGATGACCTTCATACTGATCTTTCTGAGAAGAATGAAAATCTGCTAAGGAATCATGTTGGGGATTCATCAAGTGAACCTGCAGTGGCCGCTCCGAGCATGAATAATAATATGGCTGCTGATCTGAGAACTGAAAATTTCCATAAGATATCACCCATAGATGAAAAGAGCTTAGGTATGGAAGCCAACTCCCCTATTACTGACTCTTCTTTGATATGTGGTTCTCCTTTGAAATTTGGTAATGGAGCTCTTGAAGCTCGTAATTCTGAAAACGCAGTTGAGCCACTCAGAATAGTTGATGACAATGGCAGAATAGGCGGTGAAGTTGCTTCTGCATCTGGGACTGGTGAGTCTTCATCACGAAGGAGGACCCGAGATGGTAAACAGGGTAATATGTCACAGACCAGAAGGAGTGTTCCTCGTCAGAGAAAATCACCGAAAAAGAAACAATCAGAAAGAAAACTGGAATTAATTTTCAAGTGCTCAAAGCAGAAGAGGAGCTCTGTTTCAAAACCAGGCCGTTCATCTCAGTGGGGATTACCAAGTAGGACCGCTGAAATCTTCTTACAGAGCACTTATATTCCTTCTGATGGACCTCCACATCACGCACCACAGCAATCTCAGAGCAATCCTAAAAGTGGAGAGCATAATAGTTCTCATAACGGATATGTAGAAGGATCTAACAGGAATAGCCAAGCATCCAGTGGCCCTTGCCTTCGTTTGAAAGTTAAGTTTGGTAAATCAGGTGGCCAAAATCCTCTGAACATTACAGTCTCTAAGGTCAGTGGCAACTCTTTGCCTGCTAATGGTATTGTTAAGACGGGAACAGGTTTAGAGTTTCCAGGGCCAGCAAATGATGTCGAGGATAAACTCCGAACTGTAGAAACTATAGAGCATTTAGAAGAGAAAAGCAATCCTGTTGAGGAACTTTCGATGTCATCTGATTCTATTAGGGATGAAAAAAATATCCAAGACGCTGGGGGGATATGTAGGAAGCTGGGTGGTGATATTTTAGATGAGGACCCACACCTTTCCTCGAGTATATTGGTTGAAGAGTGCGAAAGGGCCACTGGAACCCGATCCCTGGACGCTGAAACTTCACCAGATTCAGAAGTTATTAACTCTGTACCTGATTCCATTGTCAGTATTGGGCTTAAAGGGGATTTGCATCATGGTTTTTTCAGCACTCCAGAAGATGTGGCCAACAAGAATAGAGGATTAGAAAAAGAAGATGAATTGCTTGCTTCAAGGTCTCCTGTGGAAAATGGTTCACATCTAATTCCCAGCGCAAAAAAAGGTAAACATCCTAAGTCAAAAGGTAATGGAACAAAAAAAGGGAAATCCAAGTTTTCCGAATCTGCCAAAGACAGGAGAAAAAATAAATCTCACGAGGGGTTAGAGCAACGCAAATTTATAAAGAGGAGTATTGGAAGGGGTGATAGTTATTATCATGAAGTAGGGAGAATAGAGTCTCACGAAACGACAGGTACGTCCTTTTCTATTAGCTTTAAGAATTGTTGTCCACTGTCTACACCCTTCTTGTTTCCCGAAAATATTGAGGTCACTATTTATGTTTACTTGAATAGCATCCAATGTACATTATGTGAATTCATGTTATAGGTTCTCTTCGAGACGTTGATATTGGACAAACCTGTGCTATTAATGGTACCAAATCATCAGATGTGATCCATGGGGAAGCGGTCCTGGATGTTGCTATTGAGGATAGCTCTTCCACAGAGAGTGCCTGGGTTCGATGTGATGATTGCTTCAAATGGCGACGAATACCTGCTTCTGTTGTAGAGTCAATTGACGAGAGCTCGAGATGGTATGTTGTTTGTACGTGTTTACATTGTCACATGGTCATAACTCTGGATGAATGTGATCAGTTTTTACTGGACATGCATATGTATTTGATCCATCAAGTTCACGGTGTTCCATGAGATTTCCTGGTTTAGCCTCATAAACTTAGTGAGTCCTCAACCGATTTTTTAATGGACATACTGCTTCCCAAGTAGTGCCACACACTGTTCTGGCTAAGTTTGCCATTGTGTCCCTCACGATGATAGATCCTCATTTTTGTAGATTATACTTTTCGTTACATGTTAAGTGGATGTTCTTATCAACAAGTTTCAGTGTGTTGTATGATAGTTATTCCTGTTGTGGGTTACTAATATGGATTTTATATTGTTGAAAGGATCTGTGGGAACAACTCAGATAAAGATTTCGCTCATTGCTCAATATCTCAAGAGATGTCAAATGAAGACATTAATGAAGAGTTGGGTATAGGACAAGATGAAGCAGATGCATATGACTGTGAGGCGGCTAAAAGAGGGAAAGACAAGGAACAAAAGAGCAAACGTTCGTCAGGTGCTTAGAGTTCAATATTGGTGAACAATTATCATATGTTGTTTCCTTGTACTGAATTCTTGATTGGGTTTATTTTGCCCGTAATTTGGCAGGTAACCGAAAGGCGTGCTTCAAAGCTATAAAAACAAACCAGTTTCTTCATCGTAACCGTAAATCTCAAACAATTGACGAGGTTAATTTTTTTTGTATTTTTTTTGTTTATTTGTTTGTTTTGTTAGCAATGCTTTAGTAGAAAATGTGCTTTGTCCTTTTCTACAGTTTCTCCTTAGTTATCATGTTTCCTTCTATTTTGGACAGATAATGGTTTGTCACTGTAAACCACCACCTGATGGTAGGCTGGGTTGTGGAGAAGAATGTCTCAATAGAATGCTTAACATTGAATGTCTTCACGGTACCTGCCCGGCTGGCGATTTGTGCTCAAATCAGCAGGTAAGATGTCTTGTTTGCTAGCAAAAGCGTTACATTCACAGTTAGTTTTCTTAATCTTTGGATCATATCTCTACAGTTTCAAAAACGGAAGTATGTTAAATTTGAGAGATTCCAATCTGGTAAGAAGGGTTATGGCCTGAGATTGCTCGAGGATGTACGCGAGGGACAATTCCTTATTGAATATGTTGGAGAGGTATGCTTGTGATGATCTTTTAACTTTTTGGAGGATGTTATCAGTTGTAGATGGGCTTTTGTCAGTCTCGAGTGTTTTCCGAGTGTTTTATTCTTACATGTGTTAGCCAATAGATGGAACTATCATATGAATCATCTCCTTTCATAACAGGTGCTTGATATGCAATCCTATGAGACTCGTCAGAAGGATTATGCTTCCATGGGTCAGAAACATTTCTATTTCATGACACTGAATGGGAATGAGGTAAACATCTTTCTTTCTAATAACTCAGCTGATTTTTTTCGTCATCTTTGACTGAAATGGTTTTTTGGGCTGTTTAGAGCTGGGTTGAGTTGTTGAATGTGTGATTGATAGTAAAATATATCGTTCCCTGAATGTGTCTCGTGTAGCATATTAGAGTAGTCAAGTTCCATCTGTGAACCTTTGTTGCTAGGGCAATATGCTTCCAGCTCTGGTTACTTTCTCTTTAGTCTCTTTTTTGATACACTTGCGCCAAAATAAAAATTTGTTAGATGTCGAGACTATCCCCTTCTCTTTGCATCTTCTTTCCTCTGACACTCGTCTGTATCTTTATCAGTATCACCATATTACGTAAGGTTAATAAAATGACTTTACTATTATATTGTAAACGCTCGTAAGGGGTTTGCACCTTCATTTAACTGGCATATGCATAGAGAGGTTACTTCTGTTGGTTATGCTTGTACTAATTGCATCCATTGACATATCATCTGCACTGGCTTGAAAGTCCTATCTCGTATTGCGCTTTTTATGCTTTCTTTTTGGAAGCTATGCCTCTGTGTTGCACCTTGCAATAACTTTATAAGTTTTTTGTGAATGCAGGTCATAGATGCTGGTGCAAAGGGAAATTTAGGGCGTTTCATTAACCATAGTTGTGAACCAAACTGTCGTACTGAAAAGGTGACTGTTAAACGTTCTTTACGGTATCATTCCTCATGGTTTGATTATCAATTCAGTGATAAAAATCGGAGTTAGGAACTTTCTTCTTGAGCTCATCTGCTTCTTTGTTTTTCGATAAGTTATTCCACTTCTTATGCTTTCTTATGTGTATGTTGTTCATTTGTTACTTCTTAAATGTCGTTGCAGTGGATGGTGAATGGTGAAATTTGCGTTGGAATATTCTCCATGCAAGACCTTAAGAAGGTAGGCTCTCTCGCACTTATGATTGTGGAAGGAAAACTGTCTTCTCTTCCTGGCTTTCTCATCAAACATTCTTTGGAAATCGAACACAGTATTAAAATGTTAACATAAATACAAACGCAAACGCCAAAAGCAATCAAGGTCTGATAATAGCAATATGTGTGATTTTCACTTCAGTAGTTACTTAATCTGTCTGGTCCGTTGCCAGGGTCAAGAGTTGACATTTGACTACAACTATGTGAGGGTTTTTGGTGCTGCTGCAAAAAAGTGCTATTGTGGATCATCACATTGCCGAGGTTATATTGGGGGAGATCCTTTGAACGGTGATGTGATTGTTCAAAGTGATTCAGATGAAGAGTATCCTGAACTTGTGATCCTAGATGATGATGAAAGTGGGGAAGGAATCGTAGATGTTACATCTAGGATCTTCATTGATGGTGCTGACGTGCAACTGCCACAGAACTCTACAAAGGTTAATGATTTCAAGGAGCTTGCTTCTGATAATTCCCAATCGCAGAGCTCAGTGTATGTAAAACTTCCAGAGAGAGAGGTTCTTCCATCTCTTCAATTAACTGAAGTTTCGAAGGAAACTTCGACGGACATGCCTGTTATTGCTGTCCGGCAGGAGGTTCATGTCGAAAAGAAGACTAAAAGCACATCTCTTACGTCGAGTTCTCTCAGCAGACTGCCCTCAGATGGTGCAAATGCTGATAAGACAGTAAAGGATGGCTCGGGTGAAGATAAAAAGATACTTCCACGACCCCGTCCTCGAATGAAAACTTCTCGTTCATCTGGGTCTAGTAAGCGGGACAAAGGAGGTCTTCCTACTGGTGTTAGTAAAGCACAGAGTATACCGGTCAGTAAGTTGCAGCAACAGCCCGTCAAATCTAAAGCATCAGAGGAAGTTTCTCCCAGCGGGCGTATTGAAACATGTATGGTACTAGTATTAGGCGTGAATTGTTAAGATACCATCATCGTTCGGTCATATTCGCTAATAACAACACTAATTTTGCAGTTGAAGGGAAACTGAATGAGTTACTCGATGCTGTGGGAGGGATAAGCAAGCGGAGGGTAAGTTGGGGTAGCATTACTCAAGTCGTAAAGTCTTTTTTCCACTTTCATTAGTTATGCTATAAGGTTAAAACATCATCCGGGATCATACATTTTCATCATTGCATGATTTTATACATTCTTAATATTTTCCCTCTATCGGGCAACAGCACCAGTGCAATCTAATGGTTTTCCTTTTCTTAAACAAACAGGATTCAGCCAAGGGCTACTTGAAACTTCTGCTTCTCACTGCTGCTTCCCGAGGCAATGCCAATAATGAAGGAATTCAAAGGTCTTCATCTGACCTACTTATCTTAGTTCCCATTTTTTAGATTTATTATACTCTGCATCTGATGGCTGAATTCCTGATGTTGTTTGTTAACCTATTTCAGCAATCGAGATCTTTCAATGATTCTTGATGCCCTTTTAAAGACAAAGTCACGAACGGTTTTAGTGGACGTAATCAACAAGAATGGTACTTGGCTACTTGCGTCCGTTTTTTTTCTTTTCCTTATGAATCTTTTTTCATCTTGTAAAGATGAAATAACCTTTAAATTCATCCAGGTCTGCAAATGTTACATAATATCATGAAACAATATCGGAGGGATTTTAAAAAGACCCCAATTCTCCGAAAACTTTTGAAGGTAGATTCCTTGTAACCTGCTGCTTCTGTTTATATATTGTTCAGAACACACTTAGCATTCGTTGATTAATGATTTATTCCCCCAAAGGCAGTTTTTCTTTCATCTTATGCAATGTGAAACATTCGTTAAATTGGTATAAGGCCTCTGGAAAAGTGAATACCAGAAAGTTTTGAGACTTTTCTAGCTGCGTTATTGAAATTCGAGCTTGCTTACCATTCAATATAACTGGTTTTGCTTCAGGTATTAGAGTATCTTGCTACAAGGGAAATTCTTGCACTAGAGCATATAATCAGAAGACCTCCTTGTGCAGGGATGGAAAGGTTGGTAATTTTAAATCAACGCTATGACGCTGTTGGTACTTTACGTTTGACTCAATATTCATATTCATATTGATTCTTATCCTGGATTGAGTGATAATTACCATCTCAAATAAAGAATCTAGTGTCAAGAGTACTATCGAGCCATTGAAATTTGAAGTATAACAACAGATTTACCTTTTAATTAATTTGATTTGTTTCAGTAATCGCATCATGTTTGTGTAAGCCGAAATTAGTTTTATGTCAGATTTTTAAGTTTAGACGGCTCTATGATTAAACTATAGTTTTTAGACGAACTTCTTGAAATTGCGAAAGCCGAAACTAGTGTGACTTGTCTTCAGCCAGCCTTGCTTTTAGACCTCTTAGGACACCGTATGACATTTCATGTTTATCTATGTGCAGCTTTAAGGACTCCATTCTAACACTCACCGAGCATGATGACAAACAGGTACCGGGCGTCCCATTTACTCTTATGGAATTGTATCGAATCTTGGACTTTTGATTTGTTTTAGTAATCCGCATTTCTGGACCTTGATCAGATTGAGTGGGTTTAGCTTCCAATTTCCAATCGTTTTCTTGTGTATGCCTGCAGGTTCATCAAATTGCACGGAACTTCCGAGACAGATGGATCCCTAAGCCTTTTAGGAAACCGTGGCGCATCGACAGGGAGGAGAGATCGGAATCTATAAGATCGCCTATCAACAGCAGATTCAGAGCATCTCAAGAACCTAGATATGATCATCATTCGCCAAGACCTGCAGAACCATATGCGTCTGTCATATCATCAAGGGCTGCAACTCCTGAAACAACTCCTGTATCTGAGGCAAGTTCAGAACCTAATTCCAGTAATCCCGAGACAAATGGACGCAAGCGTAAAAGCAGATGGGACCAGCCGTCTATGTCAAAGGAACATAGGACCATGACTGTCTCATCTCAACAAACAGATGTGACTAATGGTAATCAGGATGTCCAAGACGACCTTCCTCCCGGATTTTCATCACCCTGCATGGATGCGCCTGATGCAGTTACTGCACAGCCGCAACAAAAGTTCCTTTCTCGGTTACCAGTTTCCTACGGGATCCCGCTTAGCATCGTTCATCAATTTGGTTCACCTGGCAAAGAGGACCCGACTAGCTGGTCTGTTGCCCCTGGGATGCCCTTCTATCCATTCCCACCTCTACCGCCTGTTTCTCATGGTGAGTTTTTCGCTAAAAGAAACGGAGCAGTCTGTTCCTCATCCATGGGAAACCCGACTTGCTCTAATGAGATCTTACCGGCTACAACTGTGCCCAACCAGTCCTCGTGGAACATCCCAAGTGTTGCTGGGACTGACTCAACCGCTCCAAACCGGAAGAGAGAGTTTTCGTCTGATATAGGAACAAGTTACTTTCGGCAACAGAAACAGAACGTTCCTCCTTGGATGCGGAACAACGGGTGGGAAAAAACAGTAAACAGCCCTATACCTGGGAATCTAACTTTAGAGAGGAAGCTCAACAATTAAGTATTCTTAACTTTAGAGAAGTACAGTCCATGAAAGTTGAAAATGGAGACAATGCAGCTCTTGAGGAGAATTACAGTGATTGATTGGTTAATTTGGCTCATAGGAAAGTCCCCTTTTAGGGAATCTTGTGCTTTACTTTCCTTTTTTTAGTATATTCTAAATTCTTTTTTTTATGACCGAAAGCGAAAACCTTCTGCTATGAGTAAAAGTCACATTTCAATGTAAGTGCAATCACATTCTTTTATTCTCTTCTGCAAAGATATGTATACCCTGAAATATCTGCGTCGCTAATATTTTTCTCAACGCTTTACAAACAATGTTCCGTAAAATGAACATAGAAGGTGAAAAGAAAAGAACAAACCAAATCTTTGGACAATTCAATATTTCCTGAGCAAACTTCTGACTCTAACAAACATCCAAGTTTTTACAAGTGTTGCATATTTTCTCCAGCCATTGAAGTACCTTCCAATTACCTTCTTGTAGCTTGATCTACTTTTCACAACCACCCAATAACCAGCAAGATTTTTCCTGCTACTGATATACTCCTCTTCCAAATCCAACAGTGATAACCGAGCAAGCACTGGTACTAGCATCACATCAGCCATGCTAAACTCATTCCCTGCCACATACGTCGTCACTCCTAGCTTTGTTTCAACCTCATCTAGAAGCCTAAGCAAATGGTCTTTGCTTCTCGTTAAGGCCCCAGGGTCCTTTAGTTTGTCCTCTGTATCGTAAGCTTCCCTTAGCTTCCGATGGTAAGCACTAGCCAAGTCTGGAGACTCAGCCATCCGTGCAATCACAACCATCCTCAAGAACTTGGAAACATAGAGTCGACGTTTATCCGGTATGTGAGCAAGAGTGAAAAGCTTGGAGTCCCATTCCCTAATCTTCCGCATCCATTCAAGAACTTCTCTACCAAAAGTAGCATCTTCTATACCAGAGGAAACCTCAGCTATTCTCTCTAAGTACCTGCAAAAATCAGAGACCCCCGCAAAGGTCTTTATCACTTGTCCTCGTGTTTTCTCAACTAAACAAAGTATCACCAAAAGGGAGAGTATTACATAAACAACGGTTGGTAACATACTCTATGATCTCGATAGTGTCCAAAATGATGTGAGAACCATTCTTGAAAACGGGAAGTTTAGCGTTAGGATTCATCCTAAAGAAGGAAGAGTCCATGTGCTTGCCTGTAATGGGATTCACATGGTATGATGTGTAATCAATGCCTTTCTCTTCCAGAGCTAATCTCACTCTTTGACTGTCTAATGAGTAAGGATGATGATATAACTGCATAGCTTCAGACCAATTCCCACGAACTATTACTGTAAGATAAGAAACACATTCAAATCCAAAGCTATCATATTATACAAGGAGGAAGATTCCAATTACATTGGAGCCAGTGAGGTTCACATTTCAAAATACTAAAATAACTTAAATTCGAGCAACAAGTCCTCAATTGAGCAATATTTCCTCACATTAAATAGCACCAAATAGACAGTAAAGGAGGAGAAACTATAGACCTCAGGCCTAGAACTTGAAAAAAAAAAGAAAACAGGGATTCATATTACTATATTAGGGACTAAAAATGGTTTTGGGCAAGATATTGAAGGAATCGAATCCAACAGATGAGGGTAAGTTGAAACCACAAAGAACATAGGAGAACATCTTCAAGCAGAGGTTGAAGGAAACGAGGATAAGAACTGAATCCAAGTGGAGGAAAAAGAAAAAGACTTTACCCAACAAAGCAGAACACCTTGGAGAAGAAAGATGAACAAGAACTGAATCAAAGTGGAGGAAAAAGAAAAACCTTCGTAGCTTCTCGAATTGAGGATTCCTTTTAAAGTTTTGTCCTTTTCCTTTTCACCAGACTTTTTATGAAGGGGGAGACAAAATACAATACAGCTCAGATTTCCTCTGATTAAATTTCGGAAAGTGCGAGTATCTAATTCTCCACTGCTTACGTTTGATGTCACGTAGACGTGTAAATGTGTACTCGCTCTCACATGATGCCACGTGTATATATATCTTCTTGTCAACCCTCCGTCAAAGTCAATGGTTTTGGTCAGACACAGTCTCTCGAGGGTATATCTGTCTTTTTCATTCTTCTCTGCCAACCTCTTCTTTTTTTTTTTTTTTTTTCTATTTACATGCACCTGAATTATTGGTTCTATTATTGCATCCCAAATATTGCAAATACTGTATTATTGGTTCTTTCAATTCTTTGGTAATTTCTTTTATTCTTTATGTTTTAAAGATCCATGCTGACTTAGTGACTTTCTTGTGAAAAAAATTTCGATCACGTGGTCTAGCTCATTTCCATGTAGACTCTTTGATTTTCGATTTGGATGGTCGCCGAGACTAACCTGTTAGAATCCAAAAAAGGAAATTCTTCTGCTTGGGCCTAAAAGAGAGTGTCGAGATTTGAGAAAGAAAATATACTATTTAGTACAAAAATTCTGATTACGGCCCAGTTCTAGATGTAATTTGCAAGCCCACTTTGGCATAGCTATTACACAATACATCTTCTTCTTTTTTAATAAAATATACATCTTCGATTATCTAATCGAATGATCTCTGGTTCCCCTGGTAAAGTGTTCGAGTAAAATGGATATAAACAGAAACAGCAAATGAACTACTTCACAGATATCAGTTACAAAAAAAAAAAAAGACTATTAGAATATTAGATAGAAATATGAGAACGTATATGATATGTAGTAAATGATGTACATAATTCACGTGCATGGACCAAGTAGAACACCAACCTCTAAATAGAAGGGACAATTAATATAAGCATCGATTTGGTGACACGTACCTAGCCAAAATTATCACAAAGGTCCATTTCATCACAATCTATTGAATTTAAGAACTTTTATGATGTAACAACGTTTTTGTCTCTTCTCTTCTCATATTTCGCCTATAAAAAGAGTTAATGTAGGTAGAAGCATCTTAGTTCATATAGTAGGTCCAAAAATAATCATATACGGAAACCAAAAAAATTAAAAACGAGTTTTTCAAGACTTTCACCCACAAGTTAGAGAAACATCAACATCAACATCATGAATATTGCAGTTTTGTTCATATATCGTAGTCATTTGTGTTAATTACTAGTTGTTTTGTTCAGTGAAATAGTTGAATTTTATCTACAACGCATCGAGGTTTGTCAAATATATATGAACCACTCGTGTAGATGTTCAAAACAAAAGCAGTATTTACCTGTCGCGGTAATTTTGAATTAATGATCCATCAATCACACACGTGTTTTCTATCATTCAAGGGTATTGATTAAAGGAAATAATCAATGAAAGATAGGGTGCTCAAATTAAATATCAATTAATTAATATCGTTATGACTTATGATGAATTAAATTGGCCTTACTCTGACATCTTTAAATGACATGCTATATATATAAATTGTCATTATTTCATGACTGTATATATTATGGACATGATTCATGCTTCTTTGAAAAATCAATCAATTTGTTTTTTTGGTAAATTTCAAATATTCAACTAATCCAAATTTTGTTTTCAAAACTGAGCCAATTGTCAAAATATTTCCCAATATATGCTAAAAGATTGTCCCCAGCCGAAACTTTTCATGGAGTATTATAAAGAGATGTGGACTGTAATCATCATTTATGTTAGTACAATAGTACTAGTAATCAATTTAATAAACGGAGAACATCTAAAGTATTCGGCTCCCGAAAATCATGCGAATTATTCGGACACGAATTCTGGATTCGAAGTATTAATTACGAAATTACGACACAAGTCGCAATCAGTTAATACAAGAAAATGAAAGAGAATGATTGGGTTTAAGACTAATTAAAATTAAAGAGACGAGATATCTAAGTTCGAGTGGGGTTATCGTGGCAGAAAACAAAAAATAAAAGCCACCAACTGAGTAGTCTACGTTTCCTTGTCTTCTGGTTAATGTTTTTGACCTCTCAGTTTGTTGCCACTTTCATTTCTCATCATCAACTCTAATCACATTATGGACTAATAACCAAACAATACATTCATTTAATTTTGTTTTTATTCCATATATTGGTTTCAACTTTCATCTATATCAAAATGTATTTGAAAAAAAACGTCCCAGAGAATCAAACTATCAGTTTTCCGCAAAACCTCAATTTCGAATGACAAAACATAATATAAATTAACATGATTCTCTTCAAGACCTTTATGGTTCCATTTTTTTGTGGTGTAGACAAAAAAAACGTGAACAGTTAGTTAGAAATCAAATCCAAAACTAATAATACATTTCCTTAATCGTAAAGTCGAATCACATAAAAAAGAACCCCCTAGCAATAATCTTTTAATATAACCGTAGTTTGAATTTTATATTTGCCTCGCGATAGAGAGAGAAGAAAGAAAGAAGAAGGTAGGGACCATGACTCATGAGGTAGACGCTGACGCATGGCTTTCAGATTTAGTTGACGTGTCGTTTCTTGCTACTAAAACGGCAGGTATTCCGTTACTACCTCCGTCCATCATTTTCTCCACCACCAGAATAACTAACCTCTCTCTTCTTCGGCAATGATGAACACAAGTAACAAATCATTTAAGTGACGTTTAAAATAAATTAATCGGGCATGAGGAACGGCGTTAAGTGACGTTACTAATACTTTGACGCCGTCTTATCTAATTACGTAATTAATGTTGTGTACGTTACCTGAGGCGCCGGTAAGCATGGGAGGAAACGTTTTTCAGTTATGCTGACGTGGATCTATCTACTGACACGTGTAGGTTATATGGGTTGTTAGAGAGATCACATGACATGGGCGCTTTTCTTCTTTGGACCGGACATGTTTGAGCCACATAACGGGCTATTTTCCACCGACCCATCCTGCGAGAAGCAAAATTTATTTCCTTATTTAATTATTTTTTGGAGAATAGATTTACTATTTTACTTTTTTTTTTATTCACCCACATTCTCAGTCTCTTAATTCATTACGATATTTTTATGGTGGTGCAGCTATGTCAACTGATGGCCTATAACCATGGACAAATTAACTGCTAGTTTATGGTGCAGCTATGTCAACTGATAGCCTATAACCATGAACAAATATAAGTCAAAACAGTTTATCCAACAAAATAATTTCAAACAGAATTTTATCCTACCCGTAATCTTCTTTAAGAATTATCTTTCGCCATCTTTATCTTCAATTTTTATTTTTTATTATTTTGGTTTGTTTGCCGTTACTATTCTTAGGTGCATGATATATACCATATAATGTACCATACAATCGAAATTCCAACTGATGTACGTATTTGTTTTGGTCATCTCCAACTGATGTAAAGTATTTTGTTCGGCTTTTCAGATGAAAATAGGGACATTTATAAATTTTTTAAAATTACTAATAACATACAATGTTTCTATCATTGTGATTGAATGCAGTAAGACTATGTCAAAATTAGAAAACGACAGAAAACAAATTAATGATTAATAAAAAAAAATTGGGTGAATTACTGTCAAGTACTACTAGTAGGCTTAGAAAATCATTTTAAACATTATTAAAAAAATGGAAAAAAATAAATTCTAAGATGGCTGCTCTTCTCTTTCTTTCTGACGAGCATCAGAAGCAAAACCAAACCTGCGGTTAAAACTTAAGCCTCTGCAACTAGACAGAGAGAGAGAAAGGATCCTGTCTTTGTTTGGGTATAAAATCCTGACGATGTTCTTTTGTCTTTGGGAAGCACACGTCAGGCAAAAAGGGTACACTTGAAATATTGAGATAATCTCTGTGAGAGGAAACATCAGAGATGATAGAAAACGGCGGAGAGAAACGGATCTCCGTCGAGGAAGAAGGATGTGGCCGTACGATTCTTGTCGGCGTGAAGCTCGACGCGCCGAGCAGAGAGTTACTCACTTGGGCTTTGGTTAAAGTCGCTGAGCCTGGTGATACTGTGATCGCTCTTCATATTCTTGGAAATGGTACCATTTATTGGGTTTTTCAGGGTTTCTCCGACAAAAACAAGCTTTGATTTTTATTTTATATTAAACGTTTTTTGATACAAATGTTTCGATTTTTGTGTGTGTTTGTGTAGAGATTGTCGATCGAGCTGGGAACTCTTCGCTTCTCTCTCTGGTGAAAGCTTTCGACTCTGTTCTTGACGTTTATGAAGGTTTCTGCAATCTGAAGCAGGTAAAACTAAAACAAGATTAAAAAAGTGTGCAACTTTTCAATTTCGAAACTTCCTTTTGATCCGATGCATAAACAAAGAAATGTTGAATTTTTGTTGTCTCTCTTTATAGGTTGATCTGAAGCTGAAACTATGCCGTGGTTCCTCTGCTCGAAAGATTCTAGTTCGAGAAGCGAAATCATTCTGTGCATCGAAAGTTTTAGTAGGGATTTCAAAAAGCCACCACACGATTCGTTCATCAGCGTCCGTAGCTAAGTACTTAGCGAAGAAACTACCAAAGGATTGTTGGGTTCTTGCTGTAAACAACGGTAAAATCATGTTTCAAAAAGAAGGTTCTCCATCATCGATCACTAATCACTCTCAAGGTTTGACCTTTTTCTTTGAAAATTGAAAAAAGTTTCAGCTTTTTTTTTTTGTATCTGAATGATTGGTTCTAAATTGCGTTCTGAGTTGTGTCATAGGAAAGGAAGATGTTCGGAGGAACACTTTGTTGAATGTGCTTCAGAGATCTGTTACACTGAGTAAGACGACTACCAAAGTTGTTAGCCACTCCGAGGAGGTTTCCAAGGAAGAGGAGGATGATAAGAACCAATCATGTGGCCAGAATCTGCAGCAGGCCTTAGCAGCTGCTCGTTGGGAGAATTGCTCGGTTTGTGGTTCGGATTCTCTGTCTCCAAATGATACAACTACTCCTGGAAAGTTATTTGGAGCTTCAAATTTCGATAGGTGTGAAGATGATGAGTGCCACAAAGAGATGGAGATTGTGCCTGTGAAAGGTCTAGAGGAATCAGGCGGTTCTATAACTATGCTGGTTAGGAAATTGCCTGAGTCTAGACCAGGCTGGCCGTTGCTTCGTCGTGCTGTTACTTCGTTAGGACCATCCGTTACTACTCATAGGCCTTCTTCGAAGCAGATACCGGTAGCTCAATGGGCTTTGAAGCTTCCCTCGAGGAGCAGTAAGCAAATTGGTTTTGAATCATCTGACGATAGATTGTCAAGATTAAACGCAGTTGGTAGTAACTCTATCACCAAGATGTCTTCTCCTGACAATAGTCCAAGAAAACTCCCGGAGGAATTAGAGGGACTCTATGAGAGATTCTCTTCAACTTGCCGGTTTTTCAAGTACAAGGAACTTGTTTCAGTGACATCAGATTTCTCCGCTGGTTTGTTCTTATTCTCTCCTTTATATGGATGACATGTTATTAGTTTTGTCTAATCCTCATGCATTAGAACTAAGAAATCCAATGTGATTTCAGATAATTTCATCGGGAAAGGAGGCAGCAGCCGGGTTTTTAGAGGTTGTTTGTCCAATGGGAGAGAGGTTGCTGTGAAAATCCTCAAGCAAACCGAAGATGTCTTGAATGATTTTGTGGCTGAGATCGAGATTATCACAACACTACACCATAAGAACATCATATCCCTCTTAGGCTTTTGCTTTGAAGACAATAACCTACTACTTGTATACAATTATCTCTCGAGAGGAAGCCTTGAAGAGAACCTTCACGGTACTTGTTAGACAAGTCCTTGCCTTGTAAGCAACTCGAGAGTTTCTTTTATGAACATGGTTTTAACAGATGCTTGGTTGCAAATCCAGGAAACAGGAAAGATCTGCTTGCATTTCGTTGGAGCGAGAGATATAAAGTAGCTGTGGGAGTAGCCGAGGCCTTAGACTATCTGCATAACAGTGCTTCGCAACCCGTCATCCACAGAGATGTTAAGTCATCAAACATACTATTATCAGATGATTTTGAGCCACAGGTAAAACATAAATTCTATTGGTTTTTCATGTATCAAGTTTAAAAAACACGAGAATGCTAAAAAAGATAAGTAATCCTATTGGTTTCCAGCTTTCTGATTTTGGGCTTGCGAGGTGGGCGTCTATATCTCACATAATCTGCTCGGATGTCGCGGGAACCTTTGGGTATGGAAGATTCTAGGTTTCTTGCAAATTTTTGAAAGTGTTCTTGGCTAATCTTTGTTTCTTGTTGCAGCTACTTGGCTCCAGAGTACTTCATGTATGGTAAAGTTAATGATAAGGTAGATGTGTATGCATTCGGTGTAGTTTTACTCGAGCTTCTCTCTGGAAGAAAACCGATTAGCAGTGGATGTCCAAAGGGACAAGAGAGTCTTGTCATGTGGGTATGTGTCGCTCTACATACCCTTAAAACTCATCAAAACCATGTTTTTTCTCTGCTCTTGTTGAAACAAGTATGTATCTAATGGTTCATGTACAGGCCAAGCCAATTCTAGATGATGGAAAGTATTCTGAGTTATTAGACCCGAGTCTGCGGGATAACAATGGTGACCAAATGCAGAGGATGGCGTTAGCTGCTACTCTTTGTATTCGACGTAGCCCTCAAGCTAGACCAAAAATGAGCATTGTAAGTCATGTTTATTTTTTGTTTAAAATCTATTCAAATCATTAGCTCTATGTAGTTGTGTCTTAACGAATGTGGAATGATGCAGGTCTTAAAGCTACTCAAAGGCGATGAAGACACGGTCAAGTGGGCAATGCAGCAAGTGAGTAGTTCATCAGAAGAATCAGAGGTGCTTAAGGATGAGGAATGTCAAAGATCTAACTTGCAGTCACACCTTAACGTAGCGCTTCTTGATGTTGAAGATGACTCTATCTCAATGGGAAGCATCGAGCAAGGCGTCTCTGTTGAAGATTATCTAAAAGGCAGGACAAGCCGTTCTTCGAGCTTCGACTAAATGCCCTTTTTTAACTGAAACCATTCTTGTGTATATATATGTATGGACGGGTGGTGGATTTGTGGGGTTCTTTTTAGCCCTTGTTCCTCCCCGCTTTAGGGTTGTAATTGTAGATTTCAATTGTTGGGGGGTTTGTTTCGCTATTTTCATCTTCTTTCTTTTTTGGGGAAACATTATAGTTGTGGTTGTGAAACGAAAGAGAACACGTTATAAACGGAGCCAAAAAAATCTTGTAATTCGTCTTCCTCTGAAATAAAAAGCGAAATTGTGTTAGATAAAAACATGAGTGCAAAGGTAAGTTTTCTTGTATGAAAAACACTTGCGCGTCTTCTTCAGCAATGTTCTTTATACTCAATAGATAATCACATTAAAGATATCTGCAGCTCCCGACATGACATGAAGTCATAAACTACTACAAGTCTACTACTAATACTACCTAAAAGAAGCCTTGAGATAGCAAATACATATCTTGAAGAATCTCTTGTTTTGCTTCATATCCAATACACAATGATAATTGTAGAGTCTTGAGTTTCACTTACGTTGTACTCTTTAAGGGCTGTGCAGTGCTGCCCTACTTGATGCATACAATAACTTGGCATTCTCTCTCCACAAGTTTTTCATGCACCCAGGGTTTGAATGCACCTTCAAGAACTATGTTCTGCAAAAGAAGCAAACCATAAAAGACATTAATCCATGGTGCAAACGACCCTCACATTCCTTTTTTTTTGTTATATTCATAATAGTGCATTCACGGTTTTAGTGGTAACCAGGAGAGTTTCTTGACACCAATTCACACATACGACGACTTGAACATATTGTAGCCATAACATTAGTCCATGAAACAAAAAAAAAAACTGTACCTCGAGATAAAAGAAAAATCCGCGCAATAGGTTCAAAGCTCTAGGAAGATCCTTCCCATAACGACAATGACGAAACTTCTTGTTGAAATCTGCAGAATCAAACCAAAGTAAGCTCAATATGTTTGCAATCGGAGTATATATCCAGTGGAAAGCAAAGGTAAAACTGAAGGACATGGTGAAGATGATATAAAGGAAAGTATTATGAATTCAAATACATCATTCCTAGCAATAGTCATAGAGATAGCAGATCCCAACAAGTGTAAATATTCAACTAAAGATGTATGATCTGCATAAATGTAAGAATGCCTTCAACAAGCTTTCCTCTAGAAAGTTAAAGTGACCTGAATGATTCTCAAGCTAGCGGGTTTTATCTTGAGAATACAGTTCAGCAAGCCGCACTCAAAGCATTACACGCTTCCACAAGAACACGTTTAACAAGTTGATTTACCTGGATACTGTTCGAGATATGAAGGTCCCAACTGGTCCTCAACTTGATATTCGATCTCTTTTCCATCTCGTAATTGCCTAGTCCGGGTCAATTGCCTCTTGCGTGATGCCTCAGTACATCGTTGCAGAAACTCATTTTTATCATAAGGCTTTCTGAGAATTTCCAACAGCTTCTTGCTAAACGAAGAATTGAGTATATTGTCAGGTACAATACCATCTTCAAGATCCTTGGCAAACATTAGGACATAAGGCAAAATGTCAATAAACCAAAATTAGAAAGAATCAGAAAAGACAGGATTTGATAGAGAAGTGAGAGAGTGAAGGTAGTAGACATACTATCACTTTGCCGTCTTTGTTTGCCTGGAATGTGGAATCGCCTCCATCAGAAAATGGATAATTACTGATTGCAATAATATCAGGATCGGACAAAGAAACTTTATCTTTTTCAGGCTTCACTTTTCGATCCGGCTCAAAGATAGTAATGGAATTTCTTAGATATGATAAGAAATATTCATAGCTTTTATCATTTAAAGACCGGCTCTCTTCATCCTCCTTCTTGCGAGCTTTGAAGCTGTTAAGTAAGTTGTCTTTAACAAGTGGTCGTGAAGACTTTGATTTAACATTGGTCTTGGTCACATGGATCTTCCTTTCCCGCGAAGTCTCTCCTTTCTTTCGTTTGGTGTCTTTGGTGTTAAACACTGGGATAGTCCTTGAAATCGAGTTATGATCTGCTCTCCCAATTTTAGCCTTCACCCTCTTTGAAGCTATGAAAACCGACTGAGGCTTTTCATTTATCTCCTCATCCTCCTTTTTGCAGGCTTTAAAATTGATCTTAGTCACAGAACTCTTCCTTCCTCGTCGAGCATCCTCTTGCTTTCGTTGGGTTTTCTTGGTGTTCACCACTGGGATAGTTTTTACAGCCTTCACTCTCTTTGAAGCCCTCAAAACCGTCTGAGAATTTGCATTTCTCTTTGCGCTGCTCTCCTCATTCTCCTTCTTGCAGGCTTTGAAAATGTTGTTGGTCACATAACTCCTCCTTCCTTTGGTGCCTTTGAGATTACTTGTAGGCTTTGACTCGATTTTCTTCTTCTTGATGACAGAACTCTTTCTTCTTCCCCTTCGACCGTCTTCTTTCATTTGTTTGGTGTCTTTAACATCACTTGTAGGCTCTAATTTGATAGTGTTCTTGGTCAAAGCAGCCTTCCTTCCCTGTCGAGCATCCCCTTTCTTTTGTTTGGTTTCTTCGACAGTCCTCGAAATCGACTTATGATCTGCTTCACCATTCTCAGTCTTCAACTTCTTTGAAAAACTGGAAATCAAAGGAGACCTTGCTCTACGCTTCCCAACTTTGACTGCTCTGCCTTCACTCCTATCAGTTGCTTCATCATCAACGTTGTACATAAGACGCATTGGAGAAGTGTCCATCTCAAGCAAAGATGGGAGGGTTAACGTATAGCTTGCCAAGTACTTCTTATATTCCACATCACATTCCAAACCGGAATCGGGATCGGAATCATCAGCTAAAACCATCGACATACTAAAGGTTGTGTTGGTTTCAACATTTTCAGCAGAAGTATTAAGTGGCTTGCATGATGCACTCACTTCACCGCAACAAAGAGCCAGCATCCCACCACCAACTTCATCTGTGTCTGAATCTGAATCAATCTCAATTATTTCCTTCTTCACATTTGTCGTACCGACCTTAGAGCTTGTCGGTTTCCTCATCCTGAAACAAACATTGACGCAAAAAAAAAAAAAAAAAAATTGAAATTGATTGGAATCAACGTGAAAACAACTTGAATCGAGGCATGTTTGACCATGTAAAAATGAATTCTTTGACATTCGACGCCCAATTACACAGCATTGACCCAACAAAAAATGAAAAATTCATAACGAACCTTCAGTTTAGAATCTCGTGGTCCGCTGTCCGAAGCGATAGTTATCGGTAATGTTTCTACCGTCGACAGCTGGAAACAAACAGCCCCAGGAAATTATTCCCAAGAAAACTACAAAAATGGCAACTTTTATGGAAGCAACGTTGAAATCTCAGCACAATTTCATCTCTTTCTAATTAAAGGACAAATCAAAACATGGATAATGCTTAAAATCGAAAAAAAAATGGTGGAATTGAGCTCAAACAACAAACCCTAGAAGTAAAATCTCATAGAGAGACGAGAAAATTAAACGGAGGATTCGAGTTGATGATCTGTAAAAGAGAGTACTGTTTCTCAGCAAAAAAACGGAAACTTAAAGCTAAGTTAACAAAACGGATCAAGATGGATTTGACGGGTTCGTATGAGAGGATTTGGTGCTTTGGACCGTATGAGTAAACCTCAGTCACAGTAGGTCCTAATTAGGTAGGTACAGTAAACCATAGTTCGAAAACCAGAGCCGTTTCCTTCCGTCACCTAATAATCGCTGCTCTTTTATAAAATAAATAAAAAGAATTTCGACTTCTTCAAAGTACTCAAAATGGGCCACAGTGAAATCATATAATAAAGCCCAGTAAGATTATATATTTATAGCTCTTCTTGTATCACATTTGACTCCTATTTAGATCCCTCATCCCTTCATAAGAAAACAAATCATGAATTAATGACAATTTTGGTCAAGTACTAACTATGTTGTATTTTATTCCTAGTAAAATTCGTTAATTGCCAATTTACGTTAGGATTCTACATACGACTTTAGATGTATTGGGACGAATGCACTATTGGTAAGCATGTGAGCATGTGATTTATATACGATTCTCTCTCTCTTTTTCCCTCTGAAGTCAGCAAGTCAGAAGAATACCTAACTGACACTTTGTAGATTTGTAAACCCCACTTCATAAATCAGATCTGATTTTTTTAACGATAAAATACCAATCAAATTCGACTTTGAGCCACTAGGTTCTAACTTCTAAAGACATTAATTACACTATTTACATTAAAATTAAAGTAAGTTGTAAATAGAGAAGCATAACCTTAATAAATAGGATAAAAGCATAGGTTCTCACACTTGTAGGTTGTAATTAGGTTTATTAAACGTTAATGTTATTTTTGCTGAATCTCTTTCTTCTTCTGTTTCATTGTCTTCATGCGAATCGTCGACTTTCGTCCCCTTCCTTCACTCACACACACACACATCAAATTCCTCACCACCTCATCCACGTGCCTCAACCTCCACCCTCCTCCGTCTCTCCACCGTCGCCGGCGTCTGATCATCAATTCCTCGCCGCTTAGATTTTCAACTCTCTTGAGAAACCATAAATAATCAACTATATCTCTCTGTTTTGCTCGATCTGTCGTGACATTGATTTGCTTTGTCGCGTTCATCAGATCGCCGGCGTGAATCGCCGTTGCTACACGATGAAACTCTCCGACGTTGGATTAGACGTCGTGAAGACGCCGAGATTGGTCAAATTCATTGCCTTTGCGCTTTTCTCAATCTCAACCATATTCCTCTTCAACCACTTCTCAGATTCCTTCTCTTACCCATCCCTTCGTTTTCCCCTCACCTCCTCCAACGTCACCGAAGCTGTTCAGACCAATATAACCTCCGTCGCGGTGGCACCATCTCCTCCACCGCGTCCGCGTCTCAAGATTTCGCCTCCACCGCTTCCACCGACGGTGGTTAGGACAGGAATCGTCGACGAGAATGGTGCGATGTCGGATTCGTTCGAAATCGGCGGCGTCGATCCTGATTCCGTCGATGAGCTTAAATCAGCCACCGGAAATTCTTCGTCGGAAAGGGAAAAGGAAACAACCGGAGACGATGATTCGAAAGTTGGATTCCGGATTGAGAAATTTAGTCTCTGTGACAAGACGAAGACAGATTACATTCCCTGCTTGGACAACGAGGAAGAGATCAAGAGATTGAACAAAAGCGACCGAGGAGAAAACTACGAGAGACATTGCCCTAAGCTGAGCTTGGATTGCTTGATCCCGCCTCCAGACGGTTACAAGAAACCAATCCCATGGCCACAAAGCAGAGACAAGGTGAAATTTTTGTGATCAAGTAGCTTACTTTACTTCCGCCGTAGCTTGTCTAAGCCTTTTACTTGTGCTGATTAGTTGTAAATAGACCCAATTGTTTGAGATTTAGTGCAAAGTCACTAATTTTTTATGGACTGATGCATTTTTGTGGCAGATATGGTTCAATAATGTGCCTCATACACGCTTAGTGGAAGACAAAGGTGGTCAAAACTGGATAAGAAGAGAGAAAGACAAGTTTGTGTTCCCAGGAGGTGGAACTCAGTTTATTCATGGAGCTGATCAGTATTTAGACCAGATCTCTCAGGTTTGTTTTTTTAGGGTTTAGTTTTTTCAATCCCTCAGCCTTTTTCAGGGTTTTTGTTATTGGCTCATGTTGATCTTATATTCTCTTAGATTGAATTTTGCAGATGATTCCTGGCATTACATTTGGAACACGCACCCGTGTTGCCCTGGATATTGGCTGCGGTGTGGCGAGCTTTGGTGCCTTTTTGATGCAGCGTAACACGACAACCTTGTCTGTAGCACCAAAAGATGTCCATGAGAATCAAATCCAGTTTGCATTGGAGAGGGGCGTGCCTGCAATGGTGGCTGTCTTTGCCACACGGAGGTTGTTGTATCCAAGCCAGGCTTTTGAGATGATCCATTGTTCCAGATGCAGAATTAATTGGACCCGCGATGGTTAATCTCTCTTCTTTCGTTACTCGGTTTTTGCTTTGAGAGATTTTGCCGTCGTATGTGACCAGAGCTTTTTATTGGCATGAATTACACAGATGGGATACTTCTTCTTGAAGCTAATAGAATGCTGAGAGCAGGAGGCTACTTTGTTTGGGCTGCACAACCCGTTTACAAACATGAGGATAACTTGCAAGAGCAATGGAAAGGTCCGTATTGTTAGTTGACAGAATAAATATATTTGTCTGCTATCGAGACTGAAGTAAAAAGTGTTGTTTCTGCTCTTCGATCTATCTTATTTCAGAAATGGTAGACCTTACGAACCGAATCTGCTGGGAGCTTATCAAGAAAGAGGGATATATTGCTGTGTGGAGGAAGCCTCTAAACAACAATTGCTATGTCAGCCGTGAAGCTGGCGCAAAACCTCCTTTGTGCAGACCTGATGATGATCCCGATGATGTTTGGTACATTAAGAAATCTCAAAGTCTCATTTCTAATCGTTCCTACATTGAAATTCTGTGATAGAACCACCAAACTCCCAGCTTTTCAATTCGAACTTTCTAAAAGTCAGAACTTTGTGGTTATGGTTTCCTGTACCAGGTATGTGGATATGAAACCGTGCATCACCCGATTACCTGATAATGGCTATGGGGCTAATGTCTCCACATGGCCTGCACGTCTTCATAATCCGCCAGAGAGGCTACAGAGCATTCAAATGGATGCCTATATATCTCGCAAGGAAATTATGAAGGCAGAGTCAAGATTTTGGTTGGAAGTAGTAGAGAGTTATGTGCGGGTATTTCGCTGGAAGGAGTTCAAGCTAAGGAATGTTCTGGACATGAAAGCTGGTTTTGGAGGGTAACAATCAATCACACGTTTGATGTTTCTGTCATATCGAAAGTTTGTTTGATCTAAGTATTTTTCTTGAATCTGGTAGGTTTGCAGCAGCATTAAACGATCTCGGGCTTGACTGTTGGGTTATGAACGTTGTTCCCGTAAGTGGATTCAACACCTTGCCAGTTATCTATGACCGTGGACTTGTAGGGACTATGCACGACTGGTATGGATCGATCGATATATACCCTTATTCTATATTACTTGTAAATCCCACATAACTTACACACAAGATTGCACTTGCTTTCTCTAGGTGTGAGTCATATGACACCTACCCAAGAACCTACGACTTAATACATGCTGCATTTCTTTTCTCTGTTGAGAAGAAGAGGTAAAAAGATTGAAACTTTTTTGTTTTCTCTTTTGGTGCTGAATTTGATATTGGGATTGGTGTGGAACATATATATATAGGTGCAACATAACAAACATTATGGTGGAGATGGACCGGATGTTGAGACCAGGAGGAAGGGTTTACATAAGAGATTCACTATCTTTGATGGACCAACTTCAACAAGTGGCTAAAGCCATTGGTTGGACAGCTGGTGTTCATGACACCGGCGAAGGACCCCATGCAAGCGTTAGGATTCTCATATGCGATAAACGGATGTGAGAAAGAAAGAAAGATACGGAAATGGAATCTGATGATAAGTCTGCTCAAAGCGACACTAGTACTGACACTTGACTTGTAGAAGGAAACGTGTTTATACACTTGACGTGAGCCATTTTTATGACACTACTCCATAGTAACACAGAGAGAGTTGTTTTTTTTTAGTAGTCAGGACTTTGTTTTGGTGTCTTTCAGTGATGGACGTTGGATTGCTAAAAGCTGAAAAATCCGACGGTAGAGACTACTATAGGATTTAACACTTGCGCACACCAAACAAAAAGAAAAAGAAAAACAAACTCTTAGCATACGAATGGAATGGTAGCGACCAAAGATATTTCCCATCAACAGAGGAATTAACTAGCAACGAACACAACATTATATAAGGTTAAAGCGAAACAAAAATCGAAAACCTTTGGTCGGACGTTTCTTCCGCTTATTGGCAAGACCAAGTGCCCTTCTTCTGCAAGCAGAACAATGTCGAGAAGACGGCATAACTGATTCTGCTCTCATGCTGTGGCCATGGAGAGGGCTCCCTCCAGTTGATAGGCTTTTCCAAAGCCATTTTGAAGTTGCAGTATCACGCAGCACTCTTGGTTTTTTTCGAGGTTGCGCTAGGAGAAGATTGTTTTCTTTCTCGCTGAAAAGGCTTTGTGAGATTACCATCAAATTTGTTGGTTCATAACGATGGTCTATTCCCCACATGAAAAGGTTCTGATACATCGCGAAAAGACTTGTTTTACGAGTCCCTAGGTTATGTTTAAGCTTGATTTCGGCGGATTCAAACTTTACTTCTTCGCTCTGCTCCGCAACAGAATAAGCAAACATAGACACCTTGCCAGTATAACCTAAATTCTCGAGAGCTAATTTGATATTAGCAGAGATCGAATCAGGACTCAGACCAGTGGGGGTCGGGCACTCATCCAGGTCCCAGAAGACGCCTGTCTCAGCCGCCGAGAATTTGCTCTTCAAGGAGGAAGACATGGTTTTTCTCTTTAGAAAATTAGGTTTAGGTCAAATAACGAACAACGCGCGTGTTTCGTCTTTAAGAAGTAAAAAAAATAACTAACAACGCGCGTGCACATCACGAATCAGCTGTTACTGTAGACTCCGTTACCGTTACCGTTACCTTGACTCTCCGTTGCGGTAATTGTTACTTGCACGTGTCAGTCTCACGTCACTGATTACCGGTTTTGACCGGTGTCAGATCCAAGTTGAAATGGTACCGGTTCAAGAGGAGAATCTGGGACGCGGAGGTTTAAAAATGATTCAAAGATAAGAGAAGCCGGGATTTGCAGAGCCACCGGCGAGTCTGAGTCTCCGATAGACCGAGAAATCAACCCTCTCCCAATTTTTCTAGGGTTTGCTCTTCGTTGTTTCGGGACGCAGATTTCTTCACTCTGGTACGGTTTTTACTCTTCTTTTCTTGTCGTTTATTGCTCGCTATTCGCCAGAATTTTGAAGTTGGATTTAGCCTCGTTCCGTCTCTTAGTGTTTAGAGAAATCTCCATTGAAGGTTCTGTATCTCTGAACTTAGTTGTTTCTAAATAAGCTTATTTGTCTGGGAATCTAGTGTTTTATAGAGAACAATTTTATTGCTTTTGGTTGGCAATTAGGAACTACATTCTTTATATCTCGATGGTTTCTTTGGGATGCTAGATTGAAGGCATTTTAGAAATTTCTGGTAATAATTGTATATCAAATGAAATTCTTCCGTGGCTGTGTAAAGGATTCTAAAGACTTTTTATCTGTTTTATCTACAGTAGGATGGTAGAATAAATCCCTAGATCCAGATTGTGAAGATCAGATTATTTGATTCTTCTGTGCGTTTACGAAGTCCATGGAGGAGGCGACAAGCAACGGTGAAGGTACAGAGAGTAATCAGTTAAATGGTTTGGTGAAAATTGATAAACTGAATAATTGCGGTGGAGGAGGAGGTGGTATGGCTAACTCTGCCAATGCAAGTTCCAGAGATAACAGGAGCTTACAAATTTACAAGCGGAGAAAACTTGGAAGATCGGTTTCTGGGACTAATTGTAAAGAAGATGAGAGAATCTCTATGGAAGGCCTTAGTCACTCAGGAAGCCGGGTACTTTTCATGAATCTTCTATCTTGATGACTCTGGTTGTGATTGATTTGAAGTGCTTGAATGTATGCTGTTTCCAATACTTTGCAACTTTCGCAGACCTCAATTGTTACGTGTCTAGTAAATTTGGTTTAGTTCAATCTGGTAATGGTTGATAGGTACTTCAATACTGACTATTGGCCTCAATTATGCAGCATGTTGTTGATGGAACTAAAAATATGGGTCATTCCTTTTTATCTTTGTGCGTGATTGCTAGTTTCAGCAAATCTTTGCAAATCATAGAAACTCCCATTAATGGTGGCTGCTTACACTGTGCTTGTTGAGAACCTGATAAGTGTTTGCTGCATTGTGCATTAAATCCTGAAATTGTTCTCATTATATTTTGTGATAAACTCCTGTGGCCATGATTTATTTTCACAAATATGCTCCTAAAACATGTTATCTCGTTCTTGTTGTGGATTAATGTTTTCATTGAATTTTTTTTGCTCAGGAGTCTGTCGCTTGTGATGGAAATAATCAAAAGTTCAGCATAGGAACTCATCTTATTGGTGAAGTCCATGAGCTTTCCAATCCACATAAACCGTCAATTGAACCCAAGTATGAGACTGCAACAGTCAGTTGCCAGAATGTTCTGTCTCAAGTTTTAGCTTCAAAGGAGTTTGCATCCCTTAGTAAGTTGCTTTCTGAAAATCTTCAAGGGGTCAAGATTGAAGACTTTACGTGCAGGACTCTGATAGACACCAGGATGAAAGAGGGTGTTTATGATGGTTCACCTCTGCTCTTTTCAACGGATCTCCAAGAGGTAATTAATGGAAACTCTGCGTAGTCTGAAGATAACTATGCATGATAGCAGATTATCATTTCTTTCTTATCCTTATCATTTGAAAAAATATATTACGATGCCATGGTTCAGAAGCTGAACTCAAACTGTCAACTTGAAGGAATGTGGTTGTGTTTTCCTGAAGTTACTCTACGTTAGATCTAATGTAGACATAGAACTAAACCTAACTACTGATTTTCAGGTCTGGCAAAAAATACAGGATGTTGGTAATGATATGGCTGTTCTGGCTAATAGTCTCTTAGAGCTTTCAAGGACCTCGTGTACCGAACAGGTGAGGGTCAGGCATAAATGATCTTCTTCAAGGTGCTAGTTTATTCTAACTTTATCCATAAATCCCCTAATATCTCTTCTTTTCTTTTTTTTATTCAAAATCTGAAAGTTGAAGGAATTCTATACTGGGGAATCGAAGCCATGTCCTGATGTAGAGATCATCAGAAATGACAGTGTTTATGACATTTGCAAGATATGTGGAGAGAAGGCACCGGTGAGAGACTGTTTGGCATGTGATCATTGTGAAGATGTGTACCATGTCTCATGTGCACATCCTGGTGGGAAAGGGATGTCGACGAATAGTTGGTATTGTCTAAACTGCACAGCTAATGGAATCGGATCACCTCACGAGAATTGTGTAGTGTGCGAAAGAATGAAAACCGAAAGGATGATGAAGACAGATAAAGGATGTGTTGATATGAGCGCAGAATGTAAAGAAGATTCGAACGAATCTGGAGAGAATTCAAGCTGTAACATGAATCATGGAGTTCACCACGTCACGAGAGATTCTGAAATCTGTAGGACCTGTGGAACAATAGTGGAGAATGGCGGCGGCGGAAAGTTCATAACATGTGATCACCCTTTTTGCCCACACAAGTATTACCACATCAGGTGTTTGACTTCAACGCAAATAAAACTACACGGTGCTCGTTGGTATTGCTCGTCGTGCTTATGCAGAAACTGTCTAAAAGACAAGGACGATGATAAGATTGTCTTGTGTGATGGGTGTGATGATGCGTATCACATCTATTGCATGAGACCTCCGTGTGCATCGATTCCAGATGGAGAATGGTTTTGCAAAACATGTAAAGCTGCAATCCAGAAAGTCCGCAAAGCGCGAAAGGCTTTTGAGAAGAAGATGCCGAAACAAAAAGGAAGGAAGATTGGGAATCTTGAGAGCGAACCGCGAAGTAAAGGCATTGGAGAATTGGATAAATGCGTAGGAGGAATGGACATGCTTTTAAACGCAGCCGACACTCTGAAAAATCAAGAACAGATGACATTCCATTCCATCAAATGAAGGATTGGATTAAAAAAACAAAACCACGAGACAGAGTATACAGCCAACTTCTTGTCCCTAAAGATTTTTTCTTTAGTTATTCATCTTCCTAACTTGCAAGACTATTAATATTGATTCTTCTTGACAAATTTGTGTTCGTTTTGGAATTTTGCTAACTTTTAATAGGAAGACAGAGGATTCTGAAGATAACCCTTCTACGGTTGAATTCTTTTAATAAACAGTGCCTTGTTGTGATCTGCTGATTTTGCACCCTGCTCGACATCATACTGAAGTAATATATACCTGTTAAACTATGTGCGTAGAAACTTTCGTGCAATTTCAATAAATACGATGTTGTAGCAAAAAAAAAAAAAAAATAAACACCCTTGATTGTTTACTTAGATGATTAAACAGTAACCATATTTTCGAATGAAAAGAAACCAAAAAAAAACTGAAACCATACAGATGCATGATATAAAAAAGCAGCTTTAATTTCTTAGAAGTTGGCTTTCCATTTTCCAATATGATTATCCCAAACGATAATACGACCCACCACAAGAAAATAATCACGAACCCACATTACTTGTAATTTTAGTATTAGCTAACCTCGAAATATAAATATTGCAAGAAAATGATTTCTGTTTTACCTAACCACTTCAGAAAAAAGATATACATTTCACCAATGCCTTATCAAAGACGATAACTTAACGATATAAACAAACACATGTTTAGTCATATAGCTAAAAACATTCAACTATGGAGCTTTTACTCCCACATCCTTCAAACTCATCTCCTCTCACTGTTCTCGGTTTCTTAGAACGAGCCGCCTCCGTTTACGGCGACTCTCCTTCCCTCCTCCACACAACAACCACCCATACTTGGTCTGAAACCCACTCTCGATGTCTCCGCATCGCTTCGACTCTATCTTCCTCCTCCCTTGGAATCAACCGTGGCCAAGTCGTGTCGGTTATAGGTCCCAACGTCCCTTCCGTCTACGAGCTTCAGTTCGCGGTTCCAATGTCCGGTGCAATCCTCAACAACATCAACCCGCGTCTAGACGCTCATGCACTCTCTGTTCTTCTTCGTCACAGTGAATCCAAGCTCGTTTTCGTCGACCATCACTCGAGCTCTCTAGTCCTCGAAGCTGTTTCGTTCTTGCCCAAGAACGAGAAACCTCGTCTCGTCCTCCTCCACGACGATGGCGACGACACGTCATTGTCTGACGTGGAATTTCTCGACACGTATGAAGGGTTTATGGAGACCGGAGACTCGAAGTTCAAGTGGGTCCGTCCTGAAAACGAGTGGGTCCCAATGGTGCTAAATTACACCTCCGGAACGACGTCGTCTCCCAAGGGAGTGATGCTTAGCCATAGAGCAGTTTTCATGAGCACTGTTAACTCTTTGCTCGACTGGTCTATGCCTAACCGTCCGGTCTACCTATGGACCCTACCGATGTTCCACGCCAATGGCTGGGGCTACACATGGGCTACAGCCGCTGTAGGGGCCACAAACATCTGTCTCCGAAGAGTCGACGCGCCAACTATTTTCGAGTTGATAGACAAGCATCAAGTGACTCACATGTGTGCTGCGCCTATGGTTCTCAACATGTTGACCAATTACTCGGACCGGAAACAGCTTAAAAGCCCGGTCAGGGTTATGACAGCCGGAGCTCCACCGCCGGCTACGGTCATTTCCAGAGCTGAGAACCTCGGTTTTGATGTGGGTCATGGCTATGGTCTGACAGAAACTGGTGGTCTGGTTGTCTCATGTGCGTGGAAGCCCGAGTGGGATTGTCTGGGACCAAACGAGAGAGCAACATTGAAATCAAGGCAAGGAATTAGAACCGCGGTTTTTGCAGAAGCTGACTTGAGAGACCCGATAACCGGGAAGAGTGTGAAGCATGATGGAGCAACCGTGGGAGAGATTGTCTTCAGAGGCGGTTCTGTCATGTTGGGTTACTACAAAGACCCGGAAGGCACCGCAGCAAGTATGAGGGAAGACGGATGGTTCTACACTGGAGACATGGGTGTGATGCACCCGGACGGTTACTTAGAAGTCAAGGACAGATCAAAGGATGTAATCATATGCGGAGGAGAGAACATTAGCAGCACGGAAGTCGAGACGGTTCTGTACACAAACCCGGTGGTTAAGGAAGCAGCTGTGGTGGCTAAGCCAGACAAGATGTGGGGAGAGACCCCGTGTGCGTTTGTGAGCTTGAAGTATCATGATGGGACTGTGACTGAGAGAGAGATAAGGGAGTTTTGTAAGACGAAGCTACCAAAGTATATGGTTCCCAGAAATGTGGTTTTCCAGGAGGAGCTTCCAAAGACTTCTACTGGAAAGATTCAGAAGTATCTTCTCAGACAAATGGCCAAGTCTTTGCCTTGATGAAGAACAAGATCTTTGGATTGATGAAGAAACAAACTTGATTCCTCGTTATATTACTATACTGTACACTACGAAGTTCTTCTCTCTACCTAAGTACAAGTCTCTGGTTCACTAGTTTGGCTCTATCTTCTTGTCGCCGACCACGAAACGTTTAGTGTCAGTGTCCTGTCCTGATGTCTGAAGTTGTTCTCTCTTCTTAATTAGTTGTTTTGCAGCTTGTAAATCGTCTTTCGCCTCTCTGGAATCCGCCTGTGGAATGGTAATAACACGTCCTTAAGATCTCTGTGGGACTATTGAAATGCAAAAAGTGAAAATATTTGGAAATTTCGGTTTTTCGTGGAACTTACATTGATCGATAATGCACTTTCAAAACTCCTGATAGCACTATCCGGCTCGCCAAAATTTAGTTGAGCTCTTCCAAGAGTAGTCCAAGCCTTAAAAAGGGCGATATTTTGACAAAAGTTTAACCATATATAAAAGGGATCTGATTCTTCTAACAAAGCTATCAACATCCATATTTCGATATACTGTAGACTCAGTATCACGACTCACGAGCATACTACAGTACGCAGATCCACTTGCCCGGAAAGTTAGTTTAGTTACAACTTACAAGTAGTTTTCAGCTTTTGCGATTTTCTTACTTATAGAGAAACACTGTATGATATAGACTATAAAGTGTAAGTACCTCGGCCCACGATGGATCTATCTCAGTAGCTCCTGTGAAGAATTAAAATCATAAGAACTATTACGAGGGTTCTTAGCGAATAATCATCAAACCTGATATTGTACATATATAAAAGTAACAATAGATAAAGGCTTCTAGCATTACGTGTTGCAGCCTTGAGCGCTTTCCATGCATCACCAAGCTCAAGTAACACTTGTGCTTTTTGTTCATGCAAGACTGCATTTTCAGGCACAAGATTAAGAGCAGCTTCCCATTTCCCTAGAGCCTCCTGGTATTTTCCTTCCTTCAATAGCAAGTTCACAGTGAGAAAACGAATCAACTGTCAGATTTTCACTCAAGTAGTTCCATAAACAAAGGAATGCAATTTCAAGAAATATAATGAATGATGAACTTGAGGCCATTCAAATGATAAGATGTTGCACAAGAAACGCCTTAACTTTATGGGAGATATCCAACCCTATGTTTGTTTGGTAACACAAAGTTTGAGACACATTAACTAGTTCTGATATTTTTCATGTTTACGCCTCCTTTACACTCCTCACTCTTAGCTAATTCCAGAGTAATAACAACAGTAATCTTCGACAAACTAGGACTTCTGGAGTTTGAGGCTCAGAAAAAGCTTACAATCAATGGCTAGAGACAATTCTAGACCAGAATCGCTTTCATGAATTTGAACTAATCCAAATGAGCAAAATTGCTGAATTTGAAGTATCCCAATTTTGTACAGCCGGTTACCTCAGCGAGCTTGTCTCCTTGTGCTCTAAACGAATCTGCGAGATTCTTAGCTTCGACTCCAATATCGAATTTCCCATTATTTTCCGAGTGAGTTGTCACTCCGAGCTCCGACGACTCCAATTGATCTGCAGCTTGTCTGCGCTCAAAATCATCTTTGCGAATTTGGCGCTGAGATTGAGTTTCTGGAGCCTCCTTCTCGAAAGGAAGATCCGGGAAATTCGATAAAGCTACGCGAGGTCGTTTCTTAGGGTTCTTGTTCCATGTTAGCTTCATCTTCTTCGTCACACAACTTCGCTCTGTTCTTCGTTTCCAATTGCCTTGCCCCGATGATTAGAGCTAAATCCCGATGACCGATTTTGTAAACAAAAAAATTAACAATGATTTCGCGGGCCTGGAGAAACTAGACTTAAGTCCAATTTATTTATGGGTCTTATCGGGCTAGACCTATAAATATTTTCAGGCAAGATATCAGCCCAGATATGGAGAAAAATATTAGGCTCGGCATTCGCCAATCGGGTTAAGGTTGATTTCACTTTGGTTTAAATATACTTTGGTTCGAATTCGGTTTTATACACTTCGGTTCGATAATATGTTAAAATGTTTACGATGTCATCGGAGCTTTTTGAGAGGAGAAAAAATGGCAACATTCGAGAATTCAGAATACACAATACTTCTTTAGTGATACGACTATAATCATGACGAATTTTATATTATTTTTTGTGTAAGAATCTGTCATTACGCGATACAGATCTAACTTGTATAAGAGTTTTAGACCAAAACAAAATTTGTTTAAGAGTAATAGCTATTTATTGACCTCAAACTTTAAGTTGTGATAAAAAAAAAAAAAAGTAGTTTCGAGATATGAGCAGTGTATTGGTGATCAAAGCTCAAAAATAAAAATTTAGCATAGACCAAATATAATAATATATTTTCAAATTTGATTTCTAATTTTTACATTGAGTGACGTAGGCGAATGTTTCAGTACGTGTGTAATCAAGCAGATTAGCATCTCCTCATAAAATCTACAACTTTCTTTCTTTGTTAGATGGTGACGAAGATGAGACTTCGAGTAAAAAAAAAAAGGCATCTTCAGAATTGTTGCTGCACCACCATTTTTGGTTTTCTCACCGTCGCATTCGAGTCCACAATCCTGAGACTTTAGACTGGTGTTGCCGCCTTGTTCTTCCTAAACCGCTGTCGCTCACACTCCCTCCTTCATGGATGTTTTCATCAACCTCTGAGAACTCTTTCGTCCATGGATTCAATGGAATCACATATGAATCATCCTTTGCCCTTTTCTTCTGCTGCTCGAATCTTTTCACGTTTTCAGATATCTGATGGAATGTTCTGTTTATCTTCGCTATTCCTCTCTCAACCGGTTCCACCACGTGCGAAACTGTGAACCTCATGTCATCCACAATCTAAGCCAAAAGAAAAATGAAACATCTGGTCATGAGCAAAGTACTA